AGCGGTCAAAGATTATGGGAGTTATAGTTCTGACAGCATATGGAAGGCCACAGATGAGCCACTCATTTTAACATATCCATGAGCACATCGTCTTATTTTCTTATGATCGGTGACAACAGCAAGTCCCTCTGAAGTTGTTACCTGACATCATAATGATGTCCGATCACTGACAGGTAAGCACCTGCACCAACTGTCAAGGATGGCCCACAGAGGACGGGCCAGTTCTTTACCTGGCTCTCAGGCTGAAAAGGGTTCCCCATGCAACTATAAGCTGTGCAAAATTGGCAAAATGTTTCCTGTATTGCAGGAGCGTCTGCAAGGTACAGAAAAGTATTCACATACTGAGTGCTCCGCTTGACACAGATCAATTAACTGAGATTGTAGCAGAGGTAAGGACATCAGAAGAACACGGCTGGGTCAGGCTAAAGGGGATCCATCTAGTCTAGCATTCTATTTACACAGTGGGCCCCCAGATGCCCCAAAGGGGTGCCCCACGGCAGGACACGAGAACAGCAGCACTCTTCCCATTTGTGACTCCCAGCAGCCGGCATTCAGAGGGACCCTGTGTTTGATAACTTTGGACACGGCACAAAATAATGGCAAGCGAACCCATTAACTCCGAGGCAGATAGCCTACTATATTCAGAACTGATGAGCTCATTATATAGGGGTGGTTCCTATTTGCATAAAGGTATATAACCTTTCAGGACGTGGGTGGCGCTGTGGGTTAAACCACAGAGCTTAGGACTTGCCAATCAGAAGGTTGGTGGTTCGAATCCCTACTCCTGCCAACCTAGCAGTTTGAAAGCACATCAAAGTCCAAGTAGATAAATAGGTACTGCTCTGGCGGGAAGGTAAACGGCGTTTCCATGCGTTGCTCTGGTTCGCCATGAGTCATGCTTGCCACATGACCCAGAAGCTGTACGCCGGCTGCCTTGGCCAATAAAGCGAGATGAGCGCCGCAACCCCAGAGTCGGTCCCTTTACCTTTACCTTATATAACCTTTCAAGTTTCACATGTCCTCAGAAGGAGGAGGAGGAGAGCCAGGCATATTACTCAAAAGTTTGCATTTTTGTTGCTTACTTTTCTGATCTGCCTGGTGAAGATTTCTGTCCAACTGAAAAATCAACCCACGTTCACTCTCTCACACAGAGAGAGTACTGAAAACTGGAACACACGTCCAAATCACAATGGATTTTTTTGTTGATAACTCCATCATACCCCAACATGCAGTTCATACAGAATAATAGAATAATATAATGGTAGAGTTTTGAAAGGGACCCTGAGGATCATCTAATCCACCCCCCTGCAATGCAGGCATATGCAGCTGTCCCATAGGGGGATCGAACCTGCAACCTTGGTGCTATCAGCACCACACACTAACCAACTGAGCTATCCAGTCATCCTCTCAGAAAGGGCAAGCAGTGCTTACACTAGGGCTGGGGACCTGTGGCCCCCAAGATATTGCTGTCCAAATATGTCCTTCCAGGCAACCAGAGAATTACCTACAAGCTCATATACCAGCGTCTTCCTTGCCCCACCATCAGACAACAATGTTGATTTGTTTGATGCAAAAGATTTTTCCTTTTTTCAGAAAAGACAACAACACACATTTAATATTTGAGGTGCAGCAGATGGCCTTGTAGGAAGGGAATGCAGACTGGCAGACAATACATTTGTGATTCTGCAAGCCTGGAATGTCTCCGGTGAGTCAAATGTTCTAGTAGCAGGAGGAAAGGTTGGGGGGGGGGATTAAACAATTGGCAGCGCCGATCTGTTATATGAAGACAAATGTTTTCCTCACCCCCTCCCCACCTCTGATGCTGGTTCTGAAGGATGATGGCAGGCAGGTTTCAGAAAACAGCCTTTCCCAAATTGTTTTCCCTCCAGATGTTGTTGGCATGGCTGCTGGTCAGGGCATTTACAATTCATTCATTTGTTCAACTTTTAATATGCCTTTCATTAGTTAACATCCTGGGTCAGTTTACAAAAATACAGTGAAAACAATACTTTCTATGTATATTTCCTCTTAAAATAAACCTTAATAATGACTTAAAAATATTACTCCAAGCCACAGTAGTCACTCCCAAAGACTGTCACTGAATGACAGCCACTGTGGTGTAGTGGTTAGAGTGTTGGACTAGGTTCAAATTCCTACTTGGCCATAAAACTCACATTGTGACCTTGGGCCAGTCTCAATCTCTCAGCCAAACCTACCACACAGGGTTATTGTGAGGAAAAAAATGGGAAGAGAACTATGTAATAATAATAATATTTTTTTATTTATACCCCGCCCTTCCCGGTTCAGAAAACCAGGCTCAGGGCGGCTAACAACAAATTTAAAACACTTAATTGATGCAACAAAAAACAGCATAAAATACAGTATAAAATGTGAATAACAATAAATTCAGAATTCAAAAATCAATTTAGGGGGGAAATCCATCCAATAAACATTAGGTGTATACCACATTTGCTTCTTGGATGAAAGGTAGGATAGAATGAAATGAAATAAATAAGAGATGTATTTAGACATCTTTTTGGGGGGACAATAATGAAGAAATGAGGGTGATGAAATTAGTTAATATGGAAGAGATGGTCCTTCAGATATCCCAGAAAACCCTGCCACACATACAAGGTCCAATAACAGTGCTTTAGGATGTCCTAGAAAAACAAACTGACAGAAAAATTAGAATCTGAGAGGAACCAAAAGGGCAGATTTCCCCATCCCCAATTCGTACAGCAACATATTTATGTAATATATTTATACCCCATCTTACTAAAAAATCAAGGGAAGTTTACACATCAACACCACCAATAAAAGCAATGAACCACAGGGAAGCAAAATAAAACCACAGTAAAACCAAAGGGGGGGGGATCCAAAGGAGTGAAAAGAAAAGAAAAACATAGTAGCCAGAGGAAATTAAAATAACAACCCACTGAAAACACTAAAAACAACCACAAATTTAAGAAAAACTCCATTTGAGCCTGTTTCTTTACCTGAGGGCTAAGGGTCACTGGCAGGTGTGTCCGTGCTCAGAAGGCCGTTCCAGAGTCGGGGGCCAGACTTCATGAAGAAGCCCCAATCACCGCCTCACCTCCATAAATCCCTGGGAAATCCTTGTCACCAACGGCCCTGCGGAGGAGGACTGAAGTAGGGCTCGGCAGGCAGGTGAAGGTGAACACCTGAGGGCTAGATCCAACTGCCATCCCCACCCCTGGCCATTCTACCACCAACTGCCCTGAGGGAAAGATTCCAGGAGACATCCCTGCTGCTCTAGCTGCCTGTAAGGATGGGGGAATTTGACAGTTTTGGTTTGCCTTCAGCTTCTCTTTTATTTTTCAGTCTTCAGTTCAGTTCCCCACATTTCTAAATCACTTCAAAGGGGAAAGGTTCAGAAAAGGGCAACCCAAATGATGAAGCGGATGGAAGGAAAGGTTGCAGCATCTGGGACTTTTTCATTTAGAGGAAAGGCGGGTTTGAGGCGACATGATAGAAGTGCACAAGATGTATGGCATGGAGAAAGTGGATAGAAAAAAGCTTATGGACATTTCCTTGGTGGCATGGGGGGAAAAAGCTATACAAAAAGGAGGATTCCTGGATGCCAAGATTCAGGTTTGGGGCTATTTGGAGAGAGAACCTCAGCAGAGATTTAAACTCACAAAATACGCAGCAAAGTCAAGCACAGACCTTTAAAATATGTCCTTGCGAGTTTCGAAACTTCCCTCTTCCCTTAGCATAGAAAAGAGCACACATTTGGTAAGTTAAAAATGGTTTACTTACAAACCCTCCAAAGGCCAGGTTCATGTGCTTTCCATACATCACTCAGAAAACACAAGCAGTAGAACTAGGCTTAGTTACTGTGGTGAAAATGGTAGTACATAAATAAGGGATGCCTAACGGAGGGTCTCCCCAGATGATTTCAGGGCACAAGGAGGAGGTCTCTCACTCTCTCAGTGCGCAAAGTGCTAAACACAAATACATGTTATCAGACACCTTTCACAACAGCCTTGTAAAGTAGGTCAGCCTCCAGATAAAGCATTGCCTCCCCTGCTGTTCCATGCTCAGGCCCTGCTCATGGCAGATAAGATTAGACCAGGGGTTGCCAACATGGCGCCCTTCAGGTGTTCACAAAGCCTTTGATCTCCGCTACCACCCTGCCACTGGTAGGAATATGAGGGGCATGTGTGGCAGAAGTAGACTGTGGGAAGCACAAAGGCAGGGAAGCAAAGTGAGGAATGGACTCACCGCCTTGCCTGCCCTGTGGTGGGGAGAGTGGCTACTTTTTTCTCCCTTGAAAAGTAGGCAGAGCCAAAAGAGAAAGCTGGAAGTGTGACTCTCCCTCCTGGTTTTTTCAGCTCTTTCAGAGCTCAGATTAATTAATCCAATTCCTACTTTTCCTCAACCACTTTGGGAAAGTGAAATATGCGCTCTCTCGCTCTCTCTCTTGTGCGGGGGGCACGGGGGGGGGTCTAATATGGAGGGGGAAGATAGAAGTGACCGGAAGTGGTAAGAGTCACAAACCCCCAAAAGGATGGAAATGCCTGGATTAGACATACAGTGGTACCTCTGCATACGAACGGGATCTGTTCCAGAGCCCTGTTCGCATCTAGAAGCAAACGTAACTAGCGACGGCACGTCTGCGCACGCATGCGTCGCTTTTCACTGCTTCTGCACATGCGCGTGACATCATTTTGAGTGTTTGCGCATGTGCAAGCGGTGAAACTCGGAAGTAACACACTCCGTTACTTCCGGGTTGCCGCGGAGCGCGACTCAAACGCGCTCAACCCAAAGCGCATTCAACCTGAGGTATGACTGTACCTCAGGTTACATACGCCTCAGGTTACAGACTCCGCTAACCCAGAAATAGTGCCTCGGATCAAGAACTTTGCTTCAGGATGAGAACAGAAATCGTGCGGCAGCAGCGGGGGGCCCCATTAGCTAAAGTGGTGCTTCAGGTTAAGAACAGTTTCAGGTTAAGAACGGACCTCCGGAATGAATTAAGTACTTAACCCGAGGTACCACTGTATTCAGATAAACAAGCTGCAGCAGACTGGATTCCCCCCCCCCCTCACACAGTCTTTATCGCTCCTTCCTCTGATCACTTCAGGAGCTGCAGAAGCAAAACTGTGACACAAGCCTTCTTGTCTGAATAACCTACTTCTCTCTCCTCCCCCCCCTTTAAGATTTCCCAATGGATAGAACGTGGTTACAAGATTGACTTCAATTGATTAAATGAGATAGCTTCTCTCACCACCCCTGCTGAAACCAGAGACCTCCCATTTATCATCAGAAATGTAACAAAGGAACATGTTGAACCATTAGTAAATGAAGCACGCTGATTTTAAGCATGGGGAGTTAAGGAGGCAGAAAGAATTGCTTTTGCCGCTGGAGACCATTACTGCTACATTAAAGCCACAATCCCATACACACTTATATATGGGAGTCAGTTCCAGTGGACTTGTTGGGACTTATTTATGGGCAGACATGCAAAGGATTCTGTTGCATCTTGCAATCTTTTACAAATTGCACAGATTGCGAGTCTGAGATTTATTTGTGTGTGTGTGTGTGTATACACACAGAGCCACACATTACATGTAAAGCATGTTCAATGCGCATTTCAAATAATCTTGGGGACTGTAGTTTAAGGGTGCTGGAAATGTGAGGGCGAACTACTGCTATGGAAATTTTCTCTTCTTCCTCACATTCCTGGATTCACAGTTCCGCCGCACAGAATTAAGCTTCCCATACTCCTCTTTCCTTCACGGACGCTGTTAAAGATGATGAGTCACAGTGGGCCATATCCTGCATTCATGAGTGCTGTTTCCTGCAATGCAATGGACACCGTGTTCATTTTGTCCAGAGATGCAGAACCAGCAGCCCTCCAGAAGTTGCTGGGCTTAAAACTCCCATCGGCCCCAGTCAGCGTGGCCAACGGTCAGAGATGTCGGGGGCTGGAGCCCAGCAAACATCTAGAAGGGATCACATATTGGCTACCACCAGAAGAAATGATAGAAGCATCAGGACTAGGCAGCCCTAGCCCAGGGGATCAGAACCAGATGCATTGAAAGGGCACCTAAGGCAAGGCCAGGGAAGCTTACTCAGCCCCAGGGGGCCACACGCCATCATGGGAAACCTTATGGGGGGCCAAATTCTAAAGGTGGGTGGGGCAAGAGGCAAATGTGGGTCCATGTGTGACCTTTGGGCAGCCGGCTAGATTCCAGCTGATATAAGAAAAAACCTGCTCCTTTTCCCTTATGGGGTACCCAAGAGCCCATTTTTGTAGGTTCTCTATCAGTAGGAGAAAATAAGAGAGACCAACCAGAGAATATTGAGAAGCAAAGCAGCTAGTAAGCCTGATCTTTATTAACTGTTGCAACAGGGTGCTCCCCCACACGCAAAAGAGAGGAGGAGGACCCATTGTGGGGAGGGGGGAGTTAACCCTTTCCACCCCCATGCAATCCCAAATAAAATCCTAACTCTGGAGCTGTGTTAAGAGGAAAATCCTCCAGTGGCACGAATGGGGGGGTTTCCTCCCTCAAATGCAAACTGCAGCTTCCTGAGTGGGCCAACTTTCCCAGAAGACTGCAACAGAGGAAAGTGATACGCTCTGTCACCTTGTCAGCTGTGATCCAGATAATGATCAGCCCTATTTGCATGACACACATTTACATCACATGGCTTCCCCAAAGGATCATGGGAACTGTAGTTTACCCCTCCCAGCACCCCAATGAAGGACAGTTCCCAGGAATCTTTGGGAGAAACCACGTGCATGAAATGTCCTTTGAATGTTTGTTGTGGATGAGTCCAAATATTTATTTTGTTGTTTGAACCCCTAAGACCTCCAGAGCTGCTGGAATATCTCCATATGCTATATATAAAATAAGTGTTGAAAGCTTTGCACTGTATTATATGCTTTTTACATTTTCCATTTCTGCACTTACCACAACATTGTAAAAAACGGCCCCCATTGTTTGCTTGTAAAAATCCTCTTGCTGCAGATATTCAAGGCTGGTGCAACCCAGTTTTTTTGTTTTTTTATCCAGGATTTTCAGAACAAGCTGTGACATTTCCTTGCCCCTCTTGCTGGCTCGAGCTGCCAAAAATTTCCTTGTTTTGTCGACAGATAGGAGGTCATTGAGAACCTACATTAAAGCGATTTTTCAAAGACAAAACTTCATGAGAGGGTTGCAAGAAACTAAATTCAAAAGGCCCTGAAGCCCAAATAACCAACCCCCAGGGGAGGATGCTTTCCAAATATCTGTATGATTAACTGATCTTCAGAGCTCTGAGCTTACATCTTCTTTCAATCAGCCTCCACTGAGGACAGGCAGTCTTGCCATGTGAATGCACCTGGTGCCTTCGGACCATTTGGTCACTCCCAAGTGATGGAAAAGAATGACCTCATCTGAAAGGGGGCTACCTGTCGTGTCCCTGCCTGAGTCACTGCTCTGACCTTGCCTCCTTCAAATCAACTCCGCTGAGGGTGCATAATCCTGCCGAGTCTCTATACCAGGTGTGTGTGTGTGTGTGTGTGTGTGTGTGTGTGTGTGAATCATTCACGACTCGGTAGGTTTACCTGACCTCAGAGGAGGCTGACTGCTGAATTTCTTCATGAGTCACTGCCTTCAGCTTGCCTCCTTCCATTCAGCCTCTGCTGAGGGCAGCTGCTCATGCCATATGTCTACACAGACTGCGACTGGATCAATCGGATCTAGAGACTCGATCTAGAGAGGCAGCAGAAATTACCGCACCTCAGAGGAAGCATGGCTGGACCACTGATTCCTGCAGAAACAGGGAGGCGGGCAGGAAGCCCTTAATCTTCCACAATTTGTTTCTTTATTGAGTGCATTTGTACCTGGCTCTTCATCCGAAAAGGATTACATACAGTCAGCTAAAAGGAGGAAAGGTTGCCTCTGCCAGTAGCTTTCCAATCACCCTTAACCCTTGGGAAAGGGGCTGATGGGAGTTGGAGGGCAACAACCTTTAAAGGTCTTCACGGCCTAGGACCCTCGTACCTACGGGACCGCCTCTCCCGGTATGCCCCACGGAGAGCCTCAAGGTCCATAAATAGCAACACCCTAGTGGTCCCGGGCGCTAAGGAAGTTAGATTAGCTTCAACCAGAGCCAGGGCCTTTTCAACACTGGCTCCGGCCTGGTGGAACGCTCTGCCTCATGAGACCAGGGCCCTGCAGGATCCGATTTCTTTCCGCAGGGCCTGTAAGACAGAGTTGTTCCGCCTGGCCTTTGGCTTGGAGCCCATTTGATTCCCTCCCCCTCTTTCCTTTTTCTTTTTCCTTTCTCCTCTTGTGATGAGGCTGCATTTAGTATTTTAATGTTTCAATATTTTAATGTATTTTAATCTTGTTCTTAAGTTGTATTCATTCAACTTGTTTTTATTATTGCTTGTTAGCCGCCCTGAGCCCGGCCTTGGCTGCAGGGAGGGCGGGGTATAAATTATTATTATTATTATTATTATTATTATTATTATTATTATCAACAGCCAGAAGGCCACAGCTCCCTCATCCCTGGAATAGGCAATGCTGAGCTCGATGGACCAAGCATCTCAGTATATGGCAACTTCCTAAGATTCTTATGTTTCTTTTTGTTATTCCAATAGGGAACAAAAAGATCCCGCTCCTTAAGCAATTTGTTAATAGCATTTGTTTTTCCTGCTGCATGCGACTGCAGTTAATTTGCCCAGGGTCTCAGTGCCCCATATATTATAAAGGAGGAGTTTTCATAGACCTCCAGTTTAACTGGCAAACACTTAACTGTTGCCGCACACCGTTTTGTTATAGTAATTCATAGGCTTTAATTTGAAGCTGGGGTGCCTGAGCGGGTGGGTGGGGAGAGGCAAAACAACGACCCCAACAACTCCCTCTCTATCCTCTGTGGACTGGCAATAAGTTAAGTACCAAAGTGTGAGGGTTTGCTGGCTGCTGGTGCAGTCAAACAACCCTTGCCGGATGCCAGAAGCCGCTCGATTTAAGCATCCTTTTTAAGACACCCAAAAGCACCATCTACAAAAAGAAATCGAACTCTTACATACTAAGTAGCCTAGATTTTCTCTAATCCAAAAGCCACTTTCTTGGACCCTTGAGCCCAATAACGGTTTGTCTTTTTTTAAAATCCACCACTCCACTCCATTCCCAGCCGTGTCCTGAACTTCTTGTGTAATTAAGCTTGGCTTGTAAGAACCTCTACACATCTCTTCTCTGCAAACCAGAAAAGGGTAGTGGTCAGAGCGACCTTCCTCAACTTGGTGCCCACCAGATTTTTTGGTGTCCCTGACCATTGGGCCTAATGGCTGGGGCTGTTGGGGCCAGATCTGAAGAGTGTTGCATTAAAAAATACCCAACAGGATGCTCTTAAGGACTAAGGGGACTGCTAAACCAATGGATTTTGTTGCCATTGTTGCCATTTAGAGTATGTTTGTGATACATGAATAAACATTGTATCAAGCCACTCATTTCCCCCATCTGCACTACAAATTGAAAGTAGTATCATACCACTTTAAACAGTCATGGCTTCTTCCCCCAAAGAATCCTGGGAGTTGTAGTTTGTTAAGGGTGCTAAGAGTTGTTAGTAAAAGGTAAAGGTACCCCTGCCCGTACGGGCTAGTCTTGCCAGACTCTAGGGTTGTGCGCCCATCTCACTCTATAGGCCGTGGGCCAGCGCTGTCCGGAGACACTTCCGGGTCACGTGGCCAGCGTGACATCGCTGCTCTGGCGAGCCAGAGCCACACACGGAAACGCCGTTTACCTTCCCGCTTGTAAGCGGTCCCTATTTATCTACTTGCACCCGGGGGTGCTTTCGAACTGCTAGGTTGGCAGGCGCTGGGACCGAACGACGGGAGCGCACCCCGCCGCGGGGATTCGAACCGCCGACCTTTCGATCGGCAAGCCCTAGGCGCTGAGGCTTTTACCCACAGCGCCACCCGCGTCCCTCTAAGAGTTGTTAGGAGGTCCCTATTCCCCCTTACAGAGCTACAATTCTCAGACTAGTTTAAGAATCACACCTTCCCAGGGAACTTTGGGAATTGTAGCTTTTTTGTGGGGAATGAGGGGTCTCCTAACAAAAGGGGGCCTCCTAACTCAGCACCCTTAACAAACCACAGTTCACACAATGGGGGGAAGCCATGTCTGTTAAGGTGGTATAACAGAGCTTTTCATGTATGGTACTGATGCAGCCCCCCAGGGAAGCATGACTTTATTTGGCAATACCTATGAGACAGACGACTTTGTTTGACTGATTGGTCCAAATCTTGCCCTTTTCACACAACCCTGCTTAACAAGGCAATGCGCCTCCTTTTCATTCAGTTCCCATCATCCCTGACTGTTGGGCATGCTGGTTGGGAAAGATAAGAGTTGTAATGCAAAACCTCTTGGGCTGATGGAAGATGGAGTCCCAAATCTCTGGAGCGCACCAGATTGGGACAGGCTGGGTTAGGGTGTTGGACTAGGACCCCGGAGATGAAAACTGTGGTCTCCATTCAGCCACAAAGCTCACTGGGTGACCTTGGGACAAACTGTTACCTCTCAGCTTAACCTACCTCACAGAGCTCTTGTGGGGATAAAGGGTTGTTAGTCACCTCGAGAGCAACTGTTTTTAATATTATGCTTTAATGTTGTTATCTGCACTGGGATCTTAGGGGGAAAGGTGGATCATAAACAAACAAACAAACAAACAAACAAACAAACAAACAAACAACAACAAGAAGTCTTGCTGAAGGTTGGGACTGAAAATTGCTCTAAAACAATGGAAAGTAAATAAATACCTACACATAAGGGACAGATGGAGGATCTGTGAGAAGCTACACAGTGAAAGAAATGTCTGTTATGGATTTATAATTACATGAGTGTTCAACTTACCGGCAACTCCTGCCGCTCATCGTCAAAGTAATGGCCATCCCACACCTCGGTAACAAGACTGCCGTACGTGGCTAGAAGCCGGAGCCTCTTTTTCTGCAAACCTTCAGACATGACATCCTTCACAGGTCGGGTGGTTATGCCCTGTAGAAATTCCTTGCAAACACATCGTATCAAAAACATTATGTCTTCCAGAAGGACAACCCAAACTCTCATTAAGAAGGGGGGGGTATTTTGAGATAATCTGCATTGTTATGACTCACAGGCCTTGATGACCAGATTGCACATCAACACCACATTCCCACCAAGAGATGTATTTACATCACGGCTTCTCCAGCTTCACCATTCCTGTCCTTTCTCCCCTAGTTTCTATTCTATTCTTGAAGACAGACAGACAGAGAGAGAGAGAGATATCCAGCCCAGTTATTAGGCAAAGTGAGGCTGCTGCCTCAGGCAGCAGAAGCCCCTGTGGTGGTGTCTCTGTGGGCACCCTGCCTGCCCTGCTGCTTCCACCAGTGGCGGAAAAGTGCTGCCACCATTGGCACTGATTTCAGGCCAGATCGCCTCCATTTTGGGTGATATCAAGCAGGCGTCTTCTTCACAGTACTCTTTTCGGCACCTGCTAAAAACGTTCTTGTTTAGACAAACCTGCCCGGAAACTTCGAAAGTTGAGGTAATTTTAATCAATGTTAGTAATTGTATATTTTGAGGTATGGCTGTGAGTTTTTCTTGATTTTACTGTTTTATCTTTTGTAAACTGCCTTGAAGCATATTTTTTACAATCAAGTGGTGTATAGATTTTATGAATAAATGAATAAATACGACAACAACAACAATACAGTGGTACCTCAGGTTAAGTACTTAATTCGTTCCGGAGGTCCGTTCTTAACCTGAAACTGTTCTTAACCTGAAGCACCACTTTACCTAACGGGGCCTCCTGCTGCTGCCGCGCCGCCGGAGCACGATTTCTGTTCTCATCCTGAAGCAAAGTTCTTAACCTGAAGCACTTTTTCTGGGTTAGCGGAGTCTGTAACCTGAAGCGTATGTAATCTGAAGCGTATGTAACCCGAGGTCCCACTGTAATGTCAAAAAAGCTGCTTTGCTGATACTGTGTGCTTTTGTTTTGTTTTTAAACCCCACACAAGGGGCAGATCCAGACATTTCAAGCACATTCTTGCCCCAAACCTGGATCTTGGCATCCAGGGAATTCTCCTTTTATATCCCTATTTCTTCTTGCCAACCAACATATTCAATACACATTTAAAGCAGATGACTCCCAACTGCCAAAGAATTCTGTGAACTGTCATCTCCCCCTCCCAGAACTACAACTCCCAGCACCCTTAACTAACTACACTTCCCAGGATGGCTTGGGAAGAAGCTCTGTGCTTTACATGTACGTTGAATGTGCTTGAAATGAATGGCATGAATCTGCTGTACAGTTAGGAGTGCAGCCTAAGTGAGTAATTGATATTCACTTCTATTGGGGGAAAGCAAAGCACTATTAAAGGGTGACCATGGCCAAATCCCACCTATTACTGATAACAGGTAGCATGGCATTGTGTCCATTTCACAGACACAGAGACTCGGTCCACACAGGGATCCCTGAAGTGTGCGGGCTCTCTCACCTCCCTACACAGCCCCTGTCATAACGACAGTCATTTTGGTTGTGTAAAAGAACCACCCCTCCCTGCTCTCTTTGTCCGTGAAAATAATAATAATAAAAGGCTAACGTGAACCCAGGGAGGTTTAAAAGCAGACAACTGAAAAACTGCAATATTGCGGCTACAATATCCTGTTCGTGCCATCAACAGCCAGGAGGTCGTGCACACACACAAAAAAGGAAGAGAAAAAAACAAAGCAAGCCAATCGCGGATAGGAGCATTCCACAATTTGACATATGGATCCTGCAAATGCCAACTGCAGGATTACATCACGGAGAAAAGGACAAAAGAGAATAAAATTATTTCTGTCAGCTCTACGAGGAACCAGTGCCAAAAGAGGCAGAGAGGACACCTCTCTCTCTCTCTCTCTCCTCTCCCCCCCCCCAATAAATGGTGTGGGGATATTTTAACAAAAAAGGTATGGACAGGGATGCTGGTCCTCCTCCAAGCCAAAGAAACAGAAGCACCAAATTACCGGTAATTCTGCAAATCACATTAAAAACTGACCTAGTAACTAACGGCTCCAAGTTTTAATTAGTTCAATGGCTAGATCAACCAGTTAAAGATTCTGGCTCCACTGGTACTTCAGGCCAAATGCAGCCCTCCAATCCTCTCTATCTGGCCCTCAGGACTCCCCACCCCCATCACACACCCTCTCTGCCCAGGCCACGCCCAGGCCATGCCCTCCTTCACACCCTCAAGTGTTTTTGCCTGGCTAGAATGTGCCCTTGAATTCTGGCAATGCCTCTTTGCTTGCCTGGATGAAGGACGGAATCATAAAATCATGGATTTATAGAGTAGGAAGGAACCACGAGGGCCATCTAGTCCAACCCCCTGCCATGCAGGAATCTTTTGGCCTGCATGGGACTCGAACCCACAATCCTCAGATGAAGAGCCTCGTGCTCTACCTACTGAGCTATCCCCGAGATGTGACCTTCAAGAGAGGAGTGTGGGACTAGCCTGATGTGCAAAGTTTCCATTTGTTGCTCTGCCCACTTTGGCCTCTGGCCCTGCCCACGACTGGCGGGTGGCCCCTGAAAGGTTGCCCACAAAAAAATGTGGCCCTCAGGCTGAAAAAGATCCCCCACACCTTCAGCTGATTAGGCTTTTGGCCCTAGAGGTCAATCAACAAAAGCTTTGGTTGATTAACCACCAGAGCCTAAAGTTCCACTTGTCTGTTATTGTTGTTGAGTTGTTTAGTCGTGTCCGACTCTTCGTGACCCCCTGGACCAGAGCACGCCAGGCACTCCAGTCTTCTACTGCCTCCCGCTGCCTCATGCTGGTCGCTTTGAGAACACTGTCTAACCATCTGGTCCTCTGTCGTGCCCTTCTCCTTCTGCCCTCCATCTTTCCCAACATCAGGGTCTTTTCCAGGGAGTCTTCTCTTCTCATGAGGTGGCCAAAGTATTGGAGCCTCAGCTTCAGGATCTGTCCTTCCAGTGAGCACTCAGGGCTGATTTCCTTCAGAATGGAGAGGTTTTATCTTCTTGCAGTCCATGGGACTCTCAAGAGTCTCCTCCAGCACGATAATTCAAAAGCATCAATTATTTGGCAATCAGCCTTCTTTATGGTCCAGCTCTCACTTCCATACATCACTACTGGGAAAACCATAGCTTTAACTATACAGACCTATGTTGGCAAGGTGATGTCCACTTGTCTAGCTCAGTACTGTACTTATTTTTCACATCTGTATTTTGCCTTTAATGAAAATGCTCAGGCTACGACTTTGACCAACCTCCCCTTCCCAAGAGAGCTTCTAACAAGAACCCCCCTCTCCCACCTAAACATGGGCCATTCTCGAAAATGATGTCACTCAGAAGCTTCCCCCCAGTGTATATTTTCCATCCAGTTCCTCATCTAAAACAATAAGGTAATTTTGTTCAGTACTCACAGGACTCGGCACCCCTTGAAACAAAGGCGTGTTGTGCACCCCACTTCCTACGCAGTTTCTGCAAAAGAGAGGGGAGATTAATCCAACAGGTAATCTCTGTTCCCTGTCTTTTCCTCTGAAATTTACTATTAATACAATTCCCCCTAATACTGCATGCACTGAATTGGAGTTTAATTAGATGGTAACCAGAGGGTTTTTTTGCTTATGAGGTAATAAATACTCCTCAAGCTAATAAACTCCAAGGCAGAAGGAGTGGTTATTAATCTCCTGAACACACACACAAACACAAACTTAGCAAGAAGAGCCCCCTCAAGTTATTACTGCTATACGTGGACAACTATTGATTCAATAACATGGGTGAAACATTGAATGTTTTTCCTCAGGCCCAGGTGAACGAAAGGTCTGCAGGGAGCTGGATTTGGGGTAGAAATGGGAAAAATCCGTCAGCTTCAGTTTCTCTCAGTTTCCCCATCTTAAATTCAGTTGCCCATATTTCCACACCAGCTTGCGGTTGGTTTTTAAGGTCCTTATGGAAATTCTTCACCATTTCAGTGCGAATCTCATTTCTGTACATCATATTGCTGCTTAGAAACGGTAATGATAAACCAATACTTAAATGACTAAAGTATATCAAACATTGGTCTGCAGAGTTTGATTTCAAACCACACGGGAAAGGAGAAGGGGACACCCGGTGACAGGTGACTGACAAAGGGGTGGCCCCGCCCACTTATCAAACTTGGCTCCACCCCTTGGGTGGTGAAAGGCATAGCCTTGCAGGCTCAAAGCCAGGCAGACACAAAACTGGGCACACTGTAAGAACTTTGAGATATGGAGGCAGTGTTATAGACATGTCCAACCTGCGTTTAAAGCCATCCAAGATGATGGGCATCCCTGCCTCCTGTAGCAGTGAGTTCCATAGTTTAATAATGTGTGCTGGATTTGGCTCAGGAGCCTGCTGGCATGGGAGGGGTGGGGAGTTATGTTGCATTTGTTATATAACCACACACTGCTGTCAGGCTCATCTCTCTCCCACGGGTTTCAGGAACTGCATAATGAAAAGCAAGCATATATTGTTTCTTAAAAAAACAACAACCCTCGCATAATGCATTTCAGTGTGCATAGTCAAGGCCAAGCCGTGGCATTTTGCCACTCCAACATGGCTGCACCACATAATCCAATTCAGTTCAACCCCCAGGATTCTTTAGTGCATCGCAGAGAATGCTGGTGGCCCAGCGGCAGCCAAAGGTTTTCAAGCACCACTGAGGGAGACCAACAGATGCTGCTGGGGTTCGGACCAGCTCTGCTCCATGGTAGTGAAAGTGCCTTCTGCCCACTCAGGCTGGCCATTGGCTCTTCTCAACAAGGAGGTCATTAAGAGCTTCCCACCCAGGTGACATTTTGCCTGGGGAATTCAGTTTTGGCTGAAGGTCAGGCTGATCTGACCACACACAACCCTCACCAAAACGAACAGGGTCTGCACAACACCAGTGGCACTCCCTTTCCCCCTGTGATAATGACCACTGGGAGGAGCACAGAGAGAAAAAACACAATGGCACATTTGAGCAGTGCAACCGGGTGCCTTCCTCTGCCCCGGCTGCAACAAAACATGTCAGTCCCATGTCTGTCTCTACAGCCACAGCAGGCACTGTAACCTTCCAACCGTTTGACCTCGCCCCCAAAGGCGAACTCCTCCATTCTTTCCTGAGACAGACGGATGCCAACAAAAAAATAGCAATGCCATTGAGACTCTCCACCTCAGGCACCTCCTCTTTTGCACGCGTCTGGGACTTGCTTCGGGGAAAGCTTGGCTTTCGGCATCACATTAGGGGTTGTTTCAGTAGGCAGAGGCTCCTCAGGGCTAAATCACAGGGTGTACGATTTTGGGTAGCCGGATCAGCAGCTTCGAAAGCTTCCAGGAAGTCTCCATAGACTGGGGTTTCTTTCCTTAACAAGGCAACACGGGGAGATGTTGCCACAACAAGGAGCTCCTTCTCCTACTTGGGTTTAATGGTGTATAGAAAGGCCAAGGAAAGGCCCCATTACCACCACCTACTGGTGACAATGCGATCACACTGCAGCTACAGCCTTTCATAGAGTCTCATATTCTTCACAAACTGTCCCAGGGAGTCTTATCCCGGAGATCAGTCCCCAGGGTCGTCTTACCCATAGGCGCAAGGGGTGTGGGGCACCTGGGTGCCAGGCCGAGAGTCCAGGGCCCGAGAGTTGAGACCGGGGAAGAGCCGGCCCGTCAGTCGGAGCGCCGCTGCAGGCTCTTCTGCTGCGGGAGGCTCTGCACAGCGAATTCAGGGGTGACCAAGCCAGCGAGATGCTGAGGCAGCTGGCCGGCTCTGCCCTTCTGCATGCCTGGGACTGGGCAGTCGGGGGCGGGGGCACCAGGCGGATCTTTGCATCCCAGTGCCGCATATGCTTAAGACAGCCCTGGCAGTCTCCAAACTAGAAAGGAGCGGAAGTCAACAGATACCATTATAAAGGCAGGCAAGGTGTGTTCTGTGATTGGCCCCACCCTCTGAGAAGAGCTGGCAGTCCTCCTTAGAGGGACCTTGCCCGATTTCATATTTGTGACCATTTGCAGTGCCGAGGACAGGGCTCTGTGATTGGGGCCCTTATCCTCTGGGTATGCAAACAGAGGGAGAGGCATAAGTCTATGTCCTCCAGCTGGCAGGGCCCAAAGGTGGACCCTGGAGAGTCTTCCTTGGGCATGGCAACTCAAATACCCTCTTTTGTGAGAACTCTGAGATGCAGAGGACATGACAGACTAATTTTTTTTGCGGCTGATGATGCCTAACACTGCTCCATTGGCACCACAAAAACTCCTGCTGCCCCCCAAATGACTTGCATACTTGGGTCACCCCCTTTGCAGAATTCACATTTCTTTTGCTGCAGATATCCCTTTTTAACTTCCAAGTTTGGAGCATGCACAGCTCTGGCCCACAATGCCGCTGACATCTGCAACTTTAAATACCGTAGCACCGAGAGCCAAGCCTGCTGCAGACCCTGTTACATATTCCGCCTCCATTCTCATTGCCTTTGCCACCCGGGCTGCCTTAACTGTTCCAACGGTTCTTTGCCGAGCGTAGCACATCAAGGATTTAGAAACTAACCATTTCTGACTGTCAGGATTTATATCCCAAACAGCTGTGCCAGGAAAGCCATGGGAATCAAACAGCTATTTGGGGAGCACCATAATCTATTAACTTCTCGGGTCGTTTTGATTTCAGCAGCTTTGCAAATAACGGCACAGTGCACTCAAACGCACCACTTCAGAGGCAACTCTTGGGCTATTGTGTTCTCAGGCAAAGGAGCCTCAGGTCCAAATTGTGAATTTGTCCCAAGAGGTTTGGGGAAGGGCCACAGCTCAGGGACAGAGCGTGTGCTCTGCAGTCAGAAGGTCCCCTGTTCAGTTCCCCATGCCAGGTAGAACTGGGAGAGATTTCTGTCTGAAACCCAGGAGAGCGGCTGCCTGTCAGTGTAGGCAGTACTGAGCAAGATGGACCAATAGTCTGACTCAATATAAGGCAGCTTTCTATGTGGTCTTGTATAGACATTACTTTGGGTGCTGTATCAGGGGGTAGCTGCTGACCTCTGTTGTTGTTGTTTAGTCATTTAGTCGTGTCCGACTCTTCGTGACCCCATGGACCAGAGCACGCCAGGCACTCCTGTCTTCCACTGCCTCCCGCAGTTTGGTCAAACTCATGCTGGTCGCTTCGAGAACACTGTCCCACCATCTCGTCCTCTGTCGTCCCCTTCATCTTTCCCAATATCAGGGTCTTTTCCAGGGAGTCTTCTCTTCTCATGAGGTGGCCAAAGTACTGGAGCCTCAGCTTCAGGATCTGTCCTTCCAGTGAGCACTCAGGGCTGATTTCCTTCAGAATGGAGAGGTCTGATCTTCTTGTAGTCCATGGGACTCTCAAGAGTCTCCTCCAGCACCAGAATTCAAAAGCATCAATTCTTCGGTGATCAGCCTTCTTGATGGTCCAGCTCTCACTTCCATACATCACTACTGGGAAAACCATAGCTTTAACGCTGACCTCTAGCTCAGTGTATGTTTGCACACAGAAGGTACCCTGTTCAGTCCCCAGCATCTCCAGTTTGAAAGACCAGGCAGCGAGTGGTGGGAAAGGCCCGGCACCGTGAAGAGCTGCTGCCAGTCAGAGTAGCTGGGCAAGATGGTCAGACCTGGTACAAGGTGGCATATTTTCCACTGAATAGGCTGGTGCTAAAAACAAAAACCAGCAACCCTCCATGGAGAAGCCATGGCTCTCTAGATTTTGTTGTACTCCAGCTCCCATCAGCCCCAACCAGCCTGGCTAATGGTTAGGGATGACAGGAGTTGCAGTCCAGAGACATCTGAAGGGCCGTAGCTTAGTGGCAGAGCACCTGCTCTGCATGCAGAAGACTCCTGCCAAAAAAACCCAAAAGCTGTTGCTGATCATCAGTGTAGACAACCTTGGACTTGAAGGACCAATGGTTTCACTTGGTATAAGGCACTTTCCTACATTCCTTACTGTCAGGGAACTGCCATCAGCTCAGAGGCGAGAGGTGGAAGGGCAGTTGGGTTACAGGAGAAGATCGTGAGAAGCAGTTCTTCCTCCGGGGAGGAGGGAAGCCACGCCTCCAGCAGGGAAAGGATGCAGGGCTTGGAGGTTGCAAGGGAGAGCCACAACACCGAGCCTGAGCAAAGCGGGGGGGGAGGCAGGTCCCCCTTTGCTCACGCCCTCTCTGCGCAGTCGGTTTACGCGCAGAGAGGGGAGGCGTAGGATGGGGGTCAAAAGACTGCTCTGCCGGGGAAAGTTTAAGGACCGCCCACTCCCAGATTCTGCTAGTGACTGAGCAGACATGGAATTGAGACGTTCTGCACTGTGAATGTTTTTGCACCGATAATAAAGCCTTGAAAAGACCAGTGGGGGTCTTGCCTGTTAGCTCTCGAGCAACCATGCTGGCATACATAACACTTACATTTCCCCATCCCTTGACCTTGGCTTCTAGGGACAATGCTGCACCTTTGAACCTTGCTCTCTTGGGTAAGTGTTCTGGTAAAAGCTTTGTAATGCTTGGACTGAGACCCCAGCTCCCTGAGGGCATCCCTCCTGGAGCTTGGCACAGACCAGCAGGCGCAATGGTTAGGGATGATGGGAGTCCAGCAACATCTAAAGGGCAACAGGTTCTCCATCCTTGAGGCAGGACAGCACCATAGGCGCCGACTCCATGGGGCTTGAGGGGGCTCGAGCCCCCTCAAAAAATTTTTTGGGGGGGCTCAGCCCCCCCAATAATCTCGGGCGCCGGGGGTGGGGGCTCCTGCCTCGCTGCTTCGCAGCACCACCGCCACTGCCAAGGCACTGCCGGGGGGAATTTCCTTCCTCCTGGCGGTTTCAGCCCCCGCGAGAACAGGGGAATCCCGACTGGCCACACCTCCCAGCCAGCCAATCGGCTGGCTGGGGGGGGCATGGCTTGCCCTATTTAGGGCCGGAGCCACTTTATTTGCATATTCATGAGCTTATTTATTATTCATGAGCTTTCCCGGGCCCCCCCAATATTTTTTATAGCCCCTAGGGACAGCACAGAGGAACCTGGGCTGCACCCATTTATCAACATTGCTGGGATTCTCCATTAAAGTAGAGGAGAAAGGATAGCAATTTCAGAACAAGGGCCAAGTGTGGAAGCAACTGGTGATAACAGCCACCTGTGAAAGTGTTAGCTTTTTAAAATTCAAAGGCGCATCTATTTCCTCCCAAACAAAAACAATCTAACTCCCCAATATTAAACCTCCAAGCGGAATAGTGTTCACAGAGCCGATACAGATGGCTTTACCCTCTGGGTATAAAACGGCTGGATCTTTGGGGAGTGTTTCCAGGTCTTGGGACATCTACATTAGGATTTCCAGCTCTTATTACTTCATATCTGACATTTATTCCTAGTTTGGTAATGGGAAAATTACCAGAAAAATTGGCATTTGGCTTGGATTCCCCCCCCCTTCCTATGAGCCTCTGCTAATATGGAAGACGGCAAGTCGTCAAATTTATTCAAGTTTTTCTTGTCAACAATATCATTAACCAAATCCCTCAATTTCAAAGTTAATAAAAGCATCTGGGTTTTCTAGCACAGCAAGACCGGCTTGCATATTTAAAACCGCATACATAGATGAATTTGCATTGGACCAAATTTGCATATTAATGAAGGACTAATTGCTCTTTGCAGTCAGTTTCATGCATACGAATTTACTATTCTTTTTTGAAAGCTTGAAAAGATCCAGCCCCCCCCACCAAAAAAAGGCAAAAACTTTTCAAAATAAAATAAAAAGCTACAGAATATTTGAGAGGCAGAAAAGGAAGGGATTCTCAGACTACATTTTAAAGCTTCAGCCAATTATTTCATTTCTCGTTTTTTTATCACAATAGAAAAAAACACAACGGGTATAATTTACAAAGGCTGTTGGAGATAAGTGGATTTTTCCTAACCTAACCAATATTTAAGAGATTTTTAAAAAAGATTACCCATTGTTAAAATCTTACCTCTAGCTCATTCCATTTATGTAGGGTGGTATTTAGCCCTCAAAACTCAAGAGAACCTCCAACCTGCACCTGACCTAGCCTGAAACTCTGCTCAGATCTCAAGCATTGGCCTTAGAGAGATTTGAAGGATTGACCAGCACCTTAGACGACTGCTATCTGATCTGACATCCAGCTGACTGGATAGTCAGGCAGATAGTCCCAGATCAAGGTCTGATGACTGCTTTGCAGGGGGGGCAGTGCTAGAGCCTGTACAAGTTGCTTCACATCCCTTCCATTTGGTCCAGAGTGTGGGGATACAGCTGTGGCTCCTCCATTGATGCTGATAAGGGAGACTTGCAGAGATGCTGCAGCAGGTTTGGAGGAACCTGTAGCCCTCCAGCTGGAGCTGATGCAAGCTGGAGTCCAACCACAGCTGGAGGGCCGCAGGTTCCCTAGCCCTGCTCTACAGTCCACCTCCACTTGGCCATGCCACTGAAAGGGAGCAATAATGATTCCGCCCTTGAAAACAGTCGCACTTCGTATTTCTAAAACACTTTTCCTAGGTCCTCAAACGTGTTTTAGCTGTTATTCCTACAACAGCCTTGAGAAGATAGGCCTGCACTGTCATCCCCATGCTATAGACTGGGGAAGGGGTGTCTGTGGTTGAGACAGAGAGTAAAATGGTTTGTTTAAAGCCAGTCAGGGCAATGCTAACTGAGCTGAGATTTCAGCTAGGGACCTCCCAGCTGAGAGCTCATTTGTAGGACCACAAGGAGTTGCCTTATACCGAGTTAGACCCATTAGTCCAACTAGCTCAGTATTGTCTACACTGACTGGCAGCAGCTCTCCAGACAGGAGACATTCCCAGCCCTACCAGGAGATGCCGGGGACAGAACCCAGGGCCTTCTGCATGCTGGACAGATGCTCTTCTAGCGAGCTTTGCTGCTATGGTGTGAACAGAACCAGTGCAGTCCATTCTCCTCGCAAGTGTATTGAAGGAACGGGCAGGTGGCATCTCATCACCTTGTCCATTCTCAAGGCGAGCAGCAACTTTTGCAGCTGCCTCCCGCGTTCTCTGCTTCCATTTCATCTGGGGGGTAATTCTGTCTCTGGGAGGGCAGTTAAGGGATCCGCTCCGGATATAAACGCTGGCATTTTGTGCTCCGAAAACCGGGAAGCTGAACAGTAAATATACCTCCCTTCTCTCCGAGATAGCTTGCTTATCCTTCAGTTGCAGATGTGGCGATAACCCATCCAGATTTTGGCACTGATCTAGATTTCATCTCCCTTTCTCCCGCTTTAAATGGGATTTGGAGCCACCAGTTGTTTTTACTACCGATGGTTTGGTTCCTATAACAGCAGGGTTTATGGCTTGAAGGCCACCTCTCACTGATCAGGATGGTACCAAGCATTCCCAAAACAGCCACTGCCATGACCGGAACCCATGTCTTGGGTCACAGCAACACTAAACTACACTTCCCAGGATTCTCTGGGGAAAGCTGTGTGCCTTAAATACACTTTCAGCGTATTAGCTGGCTGTGATCATAGTCAGGTGCATCAAATTCAATGGGTCTACTCAGAGTAAGAATAACATTTGATACAACACAATGGGGCTTACATTCCAGTAAATATGCTCAAGACTCTGCTGTAAGTCTAAAGAGCCGAACACAGAAGCATCTACTTTTAGATTCACCTGTCAAAGAGTGGAAGAACTGTCCACCCCAGCTGGGATTGTTCGTTGAGCTCGATGGCCTGGCCAGAACGTGGCGCTACTGTGCCCGGTCTCTGTCCACTCGGATCCGGGGTGTAAATAGCATCCAAGCCGTAGATCTGGATTAGCAGAACGCTGTGATCATCAAGATAAGGATGCAAAACCTACAATAAGGCAGAGGAAATTTAGACGCACGGCAAAGAGCTGATACCAGATCCAAGGAATGTTTTAAAAGGCTGAACACAATGGCATGAGAATGTGGGAAGCCAAGAGGGGTTTCAGAAATATAAAATTCCAAGCATCTCATTTCATCCCCCCCCCGAATAATATTTAACAGGCTTCTTAACTGAAAGGTTGAAGATAGGCATAAGCAATTAAACAATGTTTGCAGCAGGTTCTTCAGGCTGGTTGCCATCCCAGCTTTGTAACTCACTTTGCACTGGATCAGCAACAAATGTTGCCTCTTCCCCCCCATCAGGCAGGCCGTCTCCTGTAAACAGGGCCTTCTTGGTAGTGGTGCCCGCCCTGTGGAACACCTTCCCATCAGATGTCAAAGAAATAAACAACTATCTGACTTTTAGAAGACATCTGAAGGCAGCCCTCTTTAGGGAAGCTTTTAATATTTGATGAATTATTGTATTTTAATATTTTGCTGGAAGCCACCCAGAGTGGCTGGGGAAACTCAGCCAGATGGGTGGGGTATAAATAAAATTATTATTATTATTATTATTATATATTATTATTATTATTATTATTATTATTATTATTATTTTGCTTTTTTGACAGCAGGTGTGTGCTTATTGGATTATACATTCAGCTATCCTTCTCGTAAAGGGACGCGGGTGGCGCTGTGGGTAAAACCTCAGCGCCTAGGACTTGCCGATCGTATGGTCGGCGGTTCGGATCCCCATGGCGGGGTGAGCTCCCGTCGTTCGGTCCCAGCTCCTGCCCACCAAGCAGTTCGAAAGTACCCCTAAGTGCAAGTAGATAAATAGGTACCGCTTTATAGCGGGAAGGTAAACGGCGTTTCCGTGTGCTGCGCTGGTGCTGGCTCACCAGAGCAGCTTCGTCATGCTGGCCACGTGACCCGGAAGTGTCTTCGGACAGCACTGGCTCCCGGCCTCTTAAGCGAGATGGGCGCGCAACCCCAGAGTCAGTCACAACTGGCCCGTACGGGCAGGGGTACCTTTACCTTTATCCTTCTCGTAAGGAACGCGGGTGGCGCTGTGGGTTAAACCACAGAGCCTAGGACTTGCCGATCAGAAGGTCAGCGGTTTGAATCCCCACGCTGGGGTGAGCTCCCATTGCTCGGCCCCTGCTCCTGCCAACCTAGCAGTTCGAAAGCACGTCAAACTGTAAGTAGATAAATAGGTACCACTCCGGCGGGAAGGTAAACGTTCGCCAATAAAGCGAGATGAGCGCCAGAACCCCAGAGTCGTTCACGACTGGACCTAATGGTCAGGGGTCCCTTTACCTTTATCCTTCTCGTGGTTTAAAAAAGAGCCTCTAGAGGCAAAATAATAGTAACAAAAGCCTGCATTAATTTTTCAAAAAACAATTACATTGCTCTAAAGACATGTCGGGTGACTGTCGGTGCTGTCACAGGCACTAGCCAATCAGCACCCTTAGCCAGTACCAACCAATCAGCACCTTCTGCAGTCAATCCCAGCCAAGTGGCACCCTTGACTTTCAGCAGCTGACTTTCAAATCTGCAGAACTGGTTTGTTTTTTCCAGAACTGGCCCCTAGAGAAGAATAGTTACGTTTGGAATGAGCAAGATGACACCACTTCCAAACCAGCCCCACAGCTCTAAGAATGTCATGATCCTCTTCACTCTAATTCTAAGTTCCATAGCTGCATGTTGAGGCATGTCTTGAACAGGGAAAATGAATCTCAAGTCAAAAGGGAAAAAATATATTAACAATTCTGAAAAGCAAATATAAAATATTCCCTGTCCTGGGATAATAGTGAGACTTAAGAAGATCAGCATCCTTGCAGTATAAGAACATCAGCTGAAGATTATGATTGGGTTATGGTGCGATATTTTATTTTCATTTTGAGGTGAAGAGAGGGGAGAGGAGGGATCCGACTGATACAGCACATTTCCAGAGTTGCTAAATGCACAAAGAGATACTTTAAACCGCCTCTTCATATCATCACTTCACAGCTAAATCTGTGTAAGGCAACTGATGGGCAATTTGATTCTCCTGCGTTGAAGGGAGCAGTTCTCAGCAGTTAACCAAGATTTCATTTCTGTGCACAACAGATGTTTGGATGTTTCAGGAGAATCGTAAATAGCAGGAACTGTGCAGTACATTTCAGAAAGCTGATCTCAGTTTAAACGCTCATTTTGCGAACGTGGGGTTTTTTTTTGGTTCCTGTGGGAAAATGTCTGGAGGAACTTTTCCTTGCCACGAGTTCATATAAAAACGCTGGGCTTCCGAAGTGCGCAGACTAAAAGGACTACCTAACAAAGAGGGATGTCAGGGAATTCTAACGAAACCGAAAACTGCCAATGTTCGCTTTCTCATCCCATGTCCGGAACAGAAATGAATCCATCAAATGTGATCAGGATTCGCAGTTGTTGTTGCTGTCATTCCACAAACATTACGTAATTCATTATGTTCGCCTTCCATTTGCAATGTGTTTCCTTTGCAATGAAACTGATTGGGTGAAACAATGTAATGACAACTTAATGATGTGTTTTATGTAATTAGTTATGTAAATTACGTAAAATATGCCATTTTGCCACAGTGGACAGAGAGATGAACAACATCGTTTTGGGAAGAAAATGAACTGCAACAGAATGGAAACAATGTTGCATGTAACTAATACATGGAAATGGAACGGAATGGAACACATAAAGACTTGCTGCCCTATTAACAAGCCAGGCTGATGGTTGAACCTGTGGCTGCTTTGTGGCACAACGGACAAAAAATGGAAAAGAATTCACGTAGTACAAACCAAACGAGCAAGGTAGGGCTAATGGCACATGTTTGCTAGGCTACAATGAAAAGTAGGCTGGCACCAATCCTTCTGTGATAACGGTGCCAGGCAAAGTCCAATCCCTTTGCCCAGGCATTTATGGGACATTACCCTGTCACAAGGCAGTCGCAGGAGGAAATTATGTACTGCCATACATTTCCTTCTCTAGCTGGGAAGAAGTTCTAGACTTTGGAAGATCTGTTTTCATTGAAGTCTAGTGGAATCTTCGTTTTTTTAAAGGTTCCTTAGTTGGGAACAGTAAGGAACGGCAGCTGGGATGATCAGTAAACATTGCAGAAATAGAACCAATGTAAATGCACAGTCCAGACCAGACCAAGCCTTTCCCTTCAGAATCCACTAACTTTTCCTACCCAGGACATACCTGATGTCCCTTTCATATGATTTTCAGGGGGGGAAACAAATCTGTATTATAATGGGTTTGGCAACATGTGGTCCTTGCTAATGTTAGACCCTGACCACTGGTCCTGTTAGCTAGGGATGATGGGAGTTGTAGTCCCAAAACATCTGGAGGGCTGAATTTGCCTATGCCTGGGCTACACTGTCTGTCAGCTTCCTCCTCAATGACAGACAGCCCTGTCTTTGTATAACTCAGCAGGGAGGAAGAGGGTGGGGATGGAACTGGAATTACCGGTAGTTAGTTTTGCCTGTCATTGGCTATGGCGCCACCTACTGTTTGGCTCCCTGCCTTCCACCCTACCAGTCCCAATGGGCATCTGCCACTACTGCAAGATGGCAGTTCGGCGGCTGCATACCACAGATGGATCAATCCACTTGGGCGATCTCTGCAGGCTTGAAAAATCAAGTTGTTGCACCAGGAATGTTTCTTCTCCTCCCCAGCGTTGAGGCAACTCAGGCAACTGCGTGCTTGCAGCCCCCTTAAGGATTCTGGCCAGTGCATTCACATAGCAACCATCAGCTGAAAGGGGAAGAAAACACAAATCAGTAAAAATTATACATATTTAAGGGTTTGCTCACAATAACTGGGAAAGGCCTTTCTACCTACAACTATACATTGTACAGAGCAGGGAAAGGGGAATGAACATGCGCTGCTCACCTTACTCCTTTGGGATCTCGGTTACCTCTTATGCTCCCCTAAGTGCAAGTGCAAGAGTGAGCTGAATGGAATTTCTCCATCTCCAGTTCAGAGAGAGGCCACTGCTTTCCCTGTTGATGGACAGTCTCTTCTATGTGTTAAAGAAAGAACTGATGCCTGTCTATTATCATCATTCCAGCCATCATTTTTATTGACATAACATTTGTGTATATATATTCTGTATTTCTGGAACATTTGTTTCAGTTGTTTTAGTTTTCTGTTCACCACTTAGAGATAATTAGTGTGTGTGTGTGTGTGTGTGTGTGTGTGTGTGTGTGTGTATTAAGTGGCATAGAAATGATATAAATGAATAAATAAAAACAAATGTATCAGCGATATTTCTCGCTCATAAAATGAAGATAACCATCTTTCTCCCAACAACCAGAGCCTTCTTCAAGACGCCACTTCCTTCTCCCCATAGAGACTGTGTATGTCTTTATCTAAGCAACCAAGAGTTTGGCCGACACATGTCTTATATGGGCAAAACTGCAAGAAACGCGTGAAATAATCAACCTAATTTCTATCATTGTCAGAGACTGTAAAGAAGAAGAAGCAACAAATCCCTCTATTTAGTTCAGGCTTGAGTGCCGCTGCTTATGTAGCCAAAACGGCACCACCCATGACGCTGCTGCTGCTTATTACTGCTGTAGACCAATAAAAACACCACCCAGGCTTGAAGGAACCCCACAATTGGCAAAAGTATGAAAAAAGAATTAGAATAATACCCTTAAAATGTGTGTGTGTGGGGGGGAGAAACAGCCCAATGAGCATGCTCAGTGGATAATGAATGCTATTGGAGGAAGAAAAACAAGAAAACCAGGATAGAAAGGGAATATCAAGGAGGCAGAACAGTGATCAGGAACACTCAACACTGCAAAATTTTGCTGCAGGGTCCACTAGTATTTATTTATTTATTTGCTTATTGTGCTTGCATCCTGCCTTTCTGCCATGGGACTCAAGCTGGGCATAAGATAGAGAACTGGCCTGCTTAGCTTCAACTGGATTGCTACATCGCATATCTTCAAGCAAAACTCTGAAATTGCTTAGTATACTTGAGGGAGGGAAACACAAATAATGTTCTTTCAGCTACCTTTAAGCCCAAACGCTTGCTTGATTCGGACACGGACTCCAGCTTCCTGCCAATAACGGACCGCACGATGTATGTCGATGCACTTCAGAGGATGCCGTGGTGACAAATGTCCTCTCTCGCTTAACTTTTCTACACACCAGGCTTTCAGCTGATCGGGCAGTACTGCATGAAACAAGGAATTAGGATATGGGAAGCAGTAGCAGCACCAGGGGGATGAGCACCACTTGGCAATGCTTAAGATTAGGATCTCGGAGAATTCTGCCAGAAACAGAAACAGGAGCAGAAATTCCCACAATGCGCAAACCACACAAGAGAATGTGAATTTGGTATTGCTTTTTTAGCCTGCAAACACCATGGAAATAACTAGGTTATCTTCTGCGTGGAATTTTTTAACGTTTACCTTGCATTGAAATGCTCTGGAGTTAATTATGAAACTGCTTTTGGCCACAGCAGATAGCAAGATGAACAACATGGGTTTGTGCAGAAGCCGAACTGTAGCAGAATGGAAACAGCACTGATTGCGATGAACACAGGGCGGAAACATCCTCCTCCTCCTCTCACATCCCAACTTAGAATACCCCAAGAGTGGGGAAGCACTGTGGACCTCCGACAATGCTGGACTACAACTCCCATCAGCCCCCATTAGCATCGCCAATGGCCAGTAAATATGCGAGTTGGGAGTCCACAGCATCTGGAGCGAACCAGGTTCCTTGCACCAGCGTCTGCTGTGTTTCAAATGCACTAGTGTTATTCAAGGCGCACTCCAATGTCTCTCAAGACAACAAGCGACTGAAATAAGCTTTAGTGTACGAAGAGGAAGCTTTTGTGATCTAGCCAACCATTTTCATACCTCTGCTTTGCTCCTTGTTCGTTAACTGCAGTGCCATGTCCAGCACAAGGTTTGGGAAGCCGCTGTCCTTCTGAAAGCTTGAGATGATCTCCAGCTCTGAACTGTTGGGTTTTGCTCCGTCGGTGAAATAGTACCCTGCCAAGTAACTTGGGGGAGGCACTGGAACCTAAAGGGAAGAAAAAGAAGAACACAGGCATACAGTCTAGAAGGCAGGGCACAAAAGGGAAAAGGGATGAGGAGGGCAGAGGAAAACAAACCAACTCCAGCCTCAACTTCTTAATATTAAAGTAAAGGTAAAGGGACCCCTGACCATTAGGTCCAATCGTGACCGACTCTGGGATTGCGGCGCTCATCTCGCTTTATTGGCCGAGGGAGCCGGCGCACAGCTTCCGGGTCATGTGGCCAGCATGACTAAGCCGCTTCTGGTGAACCAGAGCAGCACACGGAAACGCCGTTAACCTTCCTGCCGGAGCAGTACCTATTTATCTACTTGCAGTTGGACGTGCTTTCGAACTGCTAGGTTGGCAGGAGCAGGGACTGAGCAACGGGAGCTCACCCCATTGCAGGGATTCGAACCGCCGACCTTTTGATTGGCAAGTCCTAGGCTCTGTGGTTTAACTCACAGCGCCACCCACGTCACAAGGTTATTATAAATAGCTTGAACTGAGACAGTTCATGGAAACAGGAAGGCCAAATGAAGTTGATCTCTCAGCACAGAGCTGCCTTTAATGAGCTCTAGTGGATGTTATTGATAATGCTGCAAAGGATTGGTATTTTTTCTATTGAGAATTCCTCAGAATTGTTATCTGCAGTGAAGTCGAACAAGGCAAGGTCTGGAGAAGGGCTGAACTTGAATGGAAGAACTGCAAATATTTATACAAAAAATAACGAAGAGACTTGCCTGAGCATGTGGTAAGAGTCGAATAAGGAGAGTACAGCAAGGAATAACTGTATGGCGATCCAGCGAAGACGGGGTAAGAGGTGAGGGTCCGTCTTCCAGCAAGCCAGCTCTCAGTTTCAGTTGAAACCCTCCCACATTTAATTCTCCTTCAGCATTAAAGATGTGGATGGCACAGCTTCCTACAGTCATCCACAAAGGGGCAAGTTATTCTTTGATTTAAAAAAAACACCCAAATGTCTCCCAATCCAGACCTTGCTGGATTCCCAACTGCCTTAGCCGGCATGCCTAATTTATTCATTTATTTATTAAATTTCATATACCACCTGATTGTAAACAAACAAGCAAACCTCAAAGCAGTTCACAAAAAGAACAACACAATAAATTAATCAGTGAGAACAGTTAAAAACAACTATTTAAAATATTTTTTTAACAAATTAAAACCAATGATAGGGTGAAAAGACCAGATTGAAACATATGGCAACCTACATGTCTGGATAGGCCTGCCTAATCAAAAATGTTTTTAGTAAAGGTAAAGGGACCCCTGACCATTAGGTCCAATCGTGACCGACTCTGGGGTTGCGGCGCTCATCTCGCTGTATTGGCCGAGGGAGCCGGCGTACAGCTTCCGGGTCATGTGGCCAGCATGACTAAGCAGCTTCTGGCGAACCAGAGCACTGCACGGAAATGCCGTTCACCTTCCCGCCGGAGCGGTACCTATTTATCTACTTGCACTTTGTGTTTTCGAACTGCCAGGTTGGCAGGAGCAGGGACCGAGCAACGGGAGCTCACCCCGTCAGGGGGATTCGAACCGCCAACCTTCTGATCGGCAAGTCCTAGGCTCTGTGGTTTAGACCACAGCGCCACCCGCGTCCCCCCCCCAAAAGAGAACAGCCTGATGTCAATAGGTAGGGAGTTCCAAAGAACCATTGCTGCCACACACAAAAATAATTTTCATGCAAACGGGGAACGAGTATTGTGTAGCACCCTTAGCAGTGCCAGGTCCACAGATCAAAGTGGATGAGAGGGCATATATGGGTGTTAAGGTGACAGGAGTTGTAGCTCAACAACATCTGGAAGGCCCCAGGTTCAGGAAGCAGGCCAGCCTGAGTCATCTCTCGGTCCCCAGAATCGGTGGGTCCACTCTTGTGAGGATCGGTGTGCTCCATCTTGTTGGCATTCTAGTATTTTATGTCTTGCTCATTCTTCCTTTTTTTAAAAAACCCCCAAAGAAACCTGCTGCTGTATCCTAGACTGATGGTTTCAATTACTTCTTCCACACAACGGCCTTGAAAAATGCTTCTCTTCTTGATCAGTAAACTGGATGATGACTCCCTCTATCACGTATTCCCTAGCCAGAGTGCCTTGTTTATGTGCCTAAGTTAAAACTGCATTTGCCATCTGCCAGTCCAATTTGTGTCTAAAACGATTCCAACTCCTTTCCCCCCCTCCACCCATCCAATGGCAAAGTAAAAATGTAGAATCGCAGATCTGCGACGCTTTCACATTCAAATGTTCATCTGCAGTTCGGTGCCCGGGATGTTTGGGCTGAGCCTGTTGCAGATGAATGGCTTAAAAATACCAACAACAACGCGATGTAAATTCTCCCACGTGTGAGGCAAACTGGACTCATCTAAGATCTCGGCAGCTGCCGGAGACGGAATCTATTACGTAATTATTTATTTAACTAACAGCGCTTATACATCACTTAATAATAATAAAATTGCCTAAACGGTTCGTATTTGCTAGAAAACGCCGATAAAAATCAACAGACTCCTAAACAAGCAGGCACAATAAAAATATGAGAAGAGATCAAATCAATAGCTTTAAAAACATACATGATGAAATTAAATGTCTGGGCAGCCTAGCCTAAGCAAAAGCGATTTTTATCAGGCGTTGAAAAACAGTACAGTGGTGGTACCGGCTTAATATCAATAGGCAGGGAGTTCTGCACTAACGGGTTGCCACACTAAGAGGTTGATTCCTCACAAATGCAGAACATTATACAGTGCTTGAAGAAATGCCAGTTCAGCAGACTGAAGTGGCTGAGTGATCACGTGTGGCTATTCTTCAAGCAAAGTGGTCTAAGGCAGTGGTGGCGAACCTTTTAGAGACCGAGTGCCCAAACTGCAACCCAAAACCCGCCTATTTATCGCAAAGTGCCAACACGGCAATTTGCGCCCCCATCCCCCCGTGTATAAGACACGATGTATGGAAGTGAGAGCTGGACCATCAAGAAGGCTGATCGCCGAAGAATAGATGCTTTTGAATTATGGTGCTGGAGGAGACTCTTGAGAGTCCCATGGACTGCAAGAAGATCAAACCTCTCCATCCTTAAGGAAATCAGCCCTGAGTGCTCACTGGAAGGACAGATCGTGAAGCCAAGACTCCAATACTTTGGCCACCTCATGAGAAGAGAAGACTCCCTGGAAAAGACCCTGATGTTGGGAAAGATTGAGGGCACAAGAAGAAGGGAACGACAGAGGACGAGATGGTTGGATAGTGTTCTCGAAGCTACCAGCATGAGTCTGACCAAACTGCGGGAGGCAGTGGAAGACAGGAGTGCCTGGCGTGCTCTGGTCCATGTGGTCATGAAGAGTCGGACACGACTAACGACTAAACAACAACAACAAGTATAAGACACTCCCTATTTTTGGGGACTCAAAATTAAGAGAATGGGGAGAGAGGGCCCAGAGTCACTGAGCTTTTTTTTGGAGAGAGTAGAGCAAAGTTGTTCAGCTTCTACGCACAGCCTACAGGAACTCACTAACCCCACTGAGAAACGCTGAAAATCGCTTGCGTCACCGCAACTGACATGCGCCTGCCAACTCACCAACAGCAGACTGCCAGTTGCCTGGCGGGCACGCAACTCCCCTAAACACCAGTGCGGGCGGAGGGTGCTCTAGGGAGAGATTCCCACATGCACTGGCATGGGGGGGGAGTGGCTGGAAACTTTGTCTGCTGTGTGTGCCCGCAGAGAGGACTTGGAGTGCCCACTCTGGCATGTGTGCCATAGGTTCGCCACCACTGGTCTATGGGACGTCAGGTGGGCATTCTGTGCTGCTACTGAGCTCTTGCCAAGAGAGGGAGTGCCAGGGATTTCAGCCCACCAATAAGGAAGCTTCTTAACAGCAATAGGCTAGGGCAAGTCAGGTGATACTCCCTGCGCTCGATAAAAGCTTGCGGATTTGGCTTACTCGCTGGCCTCAGCGCCTAAGATTTTTCTCCTTCTTGTACTGTCTACACATGAGCTAGATCTGTAAAGAAGTGACTCAGCTACAACTCTCCATCCTCAAGCAAACGCTGTCAGGAGGAAATGCAATGTTTCGGAAACGGAGAAAAATTTTTAAAGGGGGGGAATGGCTTCTAGGTCCCGTTACCTAGTAGAACAAGGTCTCCAGAATCCATGTCAACTGTATGAACTTGAAACAGAAGCCAAGTGTTGATATCCATCCCACTTGAAATGCCTCCATCTATTGCTGCTCGGTACTGGAATTCTGGATTTCGAGACGGGCTCTCAAGAACAGGAAATGCTACAAAAGGGTGCAGATTGCTGAAGCCCGTATTCCTGAAATGACCTGTTACCTAATGAGGTAGAGAGCATTCATTTATATATTATTTTACATATGCACACATACAATCTCTACAGAGTTGTAGAGATTTATTCATCTCTGTTCCAGACTTTTTTTGTTCTGTGTTCTTGGGGCAAAAAGCAATATTGACTATGCCTTCCTAGACCTCCTTGACTTTCCCATTGATTTATGCTTCCTTCTAGCCTAAATCAGACACTGAGGGGAGTCCAATCGCCCTTTCCTCCCCACTCTCACATTTCAATGCAAAGTTGACACAAAGGTAGAACAGCATCACATGCACGATAATAAACAATATAACCAAATTTCAGCCATGTATCATTTACAGATAAGTGTGTTTTTCTGTATGCAGAAGACACCATGAGAAAAAATGTCCCCATAGATTCCAACTGGATTCTTGTATATGGGGTTGTTGCTGTTTTTACATCAGCCAACATGACCTACTGGGATAAATAATTGCCAGCAAAACTGGTCTCAGAAAGCAGATTTAAGGGCCAGCGCAGAGTTCCCTTTCTGAAAAGAGAGACTCGAACGAAAACAAGGATGGGTGAATCTGTATATGGCAGCTTCTCTCTTTACATTAAGCAAGCAGCTCACAGCAGACGCCTCCCTGCTGGGCATAGCAGCCCACTGCCCTTTTCCCAGACCACCCCAGGAGCTACGCAATATGGAATGCTAATAAGGGCTCATTGACTGAAGTGGGGAGCTGCAGGAGTATTCTGAAGCTTACCTTTGTGATGGTTGCATTATCAGGTATATAATGAAGGGCATCTATATAGAGATCAAATGGCTGGCTGATCCTTGGAGGACTTGGTAGCGTGATGCTGGGATCATGCGGGACCCAAGGAGCATAGAGAAAAGAGGGTCCTTGGAGCCTGATCAATACAAACAAGCACAGGAAATATCAATCAAGCAGGCTTAAATGGTTTACATCAGAGCTTTTCAATCTTTTTGAGTCTACGGTTCCTTGACACTGGGGTCCAGCGATGAGGGCCTCCCAGTACATTGGCTCCCAGTACGTTTCCAAGCACAATTCAAAGTGCCGAGGTCTAAACGGCCTTGGTCCTGTATATCGGTCCTCCACCCCCATCGTTCTACCCGGACACTGAGGTCCAGGACTGAGGGCCTTCTGGTGGTTCCCTCACTGCGAGAAGCCAAGTTACAAGGAACCAGGCAGAGGGCCTTCTCGGTAGTGGCGCCCTCCCTGCGGAACGCCCTCCCACCAGATGTCAAAGAGAACAACAACTACCAGACTTTTAGAAGACATCTGAAGGCAGCCCTGTTTAGGGAAGCTTTTAATGTTTGATGTATTACAGTATTTTAATATTTTTTTGGAAGCCGCCCAGAGTGGCTGGGGAAGCCCAGCCAGATGGGCGGGGTATAAATACTAAATTATTATTATTGTTATTGACCAACTACCTTCTTTCTGCGGCACCCCTGTGGGGCTCAGGAGCCCAGTTATGTCACGCCTTGCCTACAGAGCTGGCAGCCCCTCACCCCTTTTCAAACGCCCTCCCTTGTGGAGTTTTCCCTCAGCCTCCTCTCTTCTTCCCTCTGCCCTTTCCTTGGGAGTCCTCTGGGCAGCTGCAGCTGCCACCCCTGGTCTATTAGCTGCCCTCCTGCCCCAAAGAGAGGTGCCTCCTCCCATTGCCCCACAGGGGTCTGGGAAGCACCCCCTGGCCAGCCCCAGAGGCACCATTCGCCTGGGGAGCTTATAGCCAGGGCTGCTGCAACAAACAGCTCTGCAAGCCTTTGGGAGGCAGAGACACAAGAGGACACCAGAGGAGGGAGGGAAGGAAAGAACGACAGAGGCCAGTGTTGCTTGTGGCACCCCTGGCCATCACTCAAGCCACCCCTGTGGAGCGCCCTCCCATCAGATGCCAAGGAAATACAGTGGTACCTCGGGTTAAGAACTTAATTTGTTCTGGAGGTCTGTTCTTAACCTGAAACTGTTCTTAACCTGAAGCACCACTTTAGCTAATGGGGCCTCCCACTGCCGTTGTGCCGCCGCCGCGCAATTTCTGTTCTCATCCTGAAGCAAAGTTCTTAACCCAAGGTACTATTTCTGGGTTAGCGGAGTCTGTAACCTGAAGCGTCTGCAACCCGAAGCATCTGTAACCCGAGGTACCACTGTAAACAACTATCTGACTTTTAGAAGACATAGGAAGGCAGCCCTGTTTAATTCTGTTGGGAGCCGCCCAGAGTGGCTAGGGAAACCCAGCCAGATGGGTGGGGTATAAATAAATAATAATAATAATAATAATAATAATAATAATAATTATTACTATAATACAAGGTCTTTTCTGGCACCACTCCCCAGAATCCTGCAACTGGATTGAACTGGGATCTCCTGCATGAAAGGGGTGGGATGCGAGGGCGATCTGGCTGCGACATCTGTCACCCCATTGATGAAAGGGGTGTGCTCTCCACCACTGAGCCACTGCCCTTCCCCTGCTGCAAAGGTGCAGTTTCCACTTGGGGCCCAAGAGATAGGAAACTTGCTAATTTTCTCAGCCGTTAAACTTTACCAACTTTTCCATTTATAGCATGTGGTGCGGCAGGAGCCATTTCCTCCTGCCAATCTGTTTTGCTTGCAGACGACTGACTGACACCGGCAAATAAAATAAAAATAAAACTTTGTGCAGCTGCTGGCTTCACTTTTGAGGCTCCCAAGCTGCACAGTCCCCCCCCCCCCTGCTGGTATGTGCCGTAAAAGCACCGCCTTGGCTTCCCACTTCAAAGCTGCCGGGGTTTTGGAGAACGAGGCGGTTTCTGTGCCTTAAACACTCGCTTTTGTGTTTTCATTTATACACGTTAGCGCCCCCTTTCAAGGCAGGCCCCGTGCCAGACACAACATCTTGCAAAATAATTTACAGTAAAATCATCTTACGTTTTATACGCCGTATTGATTTTGGCGTTAATTTTCAAACCTGCGAAAGTCAGGGGGGGCATAAATCTGCAGATAAATTGGCAGAAATGACAGGAGAGAAAATGTTCAACGAGGGAGAGTTGTGTGTGTCGGCTGTGAGCTATTTAGCTAGTTAGATGAGAAATATATCAAGAGAGGCCCCGTAAATCCCAAGATGAGTCATAAATATAACAATGCATGGCAAGATATGGTTTCGGTAGGAAAGAACAAGGATCTTAGGGCAGAGACAGGGAACTGGTTTGGGGTTCTTTTGCTTTTTAGAAACCAGAAGCTGGCTTTAAAAAGGGATTGCTGCTCGCAGCACAGAAGCTTGCCAAATAAAAAGCAGTACTGTCTCGCATTAATAATAACATATTAAATCTTTTGGAAATTTGTTTCCTCGCTTTGCATTTTGACAGCTCTTGAGATACCATACGCAATCAAATTTTGCAGGCTGGTTCGTGAGATCAAGGTGCAGGTTTTCATCTATGTCTGGATACAATAGTTTTGAATCATGATGGCAGACGGAACTTTTAAAAACTGCACAGATTTTATTTCATCGGAACTGAGAATTATGGCGTCTGCCGCTCGAGGAGGACTTTTGGATCAGTGTGTGATTTACTGCAAACAAAAGACTTACCAGCTTTTAAAAAAAGGGAGAGCCTTACAAAGTTCACACAGAAGCATAATATTGCTTACTTTAACTCGCCTGTGGAAACAACTCAGAGGCTATTAAGAAGAAAAAGGATAACAACAAGAAGATTGAAAGATGGGACTGGTGAACACTAAAAGCAGCAGAAATATGGGATGACTGGACCCTTACTGAACTCGAAGCATGGGAACCCCCAACAAAAATATATAATTTGACAAAATATCTGGACTTTATGATATGTATTGGTATAATTTGGAATAATTAATGTGATATGATTGGATTGTTAAATGGAAAACTTAATAAAAATTATTTTTAAAAAAACAAAAAACTGCACAGATTTTAACCACTGATTACAACACTGATTTTTTGGTTTCTTAGAATTCCAGAGCAACACTGGGTAGGAGCCTTCTAGAAAAATAAAATGCAGCCAGTATTTTCCCATCCAAGCCATGTTCCCCCCAAGTTTCAGTGGTTACCTTTCTTCCCTCAAGCGGTGGCTTTGCAGTCTCCGTCTTTCGTTGGCAACATCATACACTGTCAGCTGGATCGTTGAATGGCCCTCTGCAAAATCTGGAAACATATGTGATTTACTGCAGTGCACCTCTACTTTCTAGTACAATTAAACACACACACACTGTACTCTTCACACAGACAAAGAATTATTGTCAGGAGGTCAAGTCCGGCACAGCTACAGTTATCACTCAGGCAAATTTAAATAGGCGGCAGCAGCACAAGATCAATTAAGAAAATTAAATGAAAACCTATTCTTCTCTAAGTGAGAAATTGGCTCCCCCTTTACAGACCCTTTGGCAGCTGCCTCAAAGGAATTATCCGTTCTCTGGAAAGAGACGCAGAGGGGCATTTATTGGCTGAGACTCCAGAGCAAAGTGTGTGGCCGTCATGATTGTACTGAGACTCAGACCTAGCATGCTACAAGGGGCACTACCTAGGTGGGTTCAATCCCAGATTTAAAATCGTGGGAACGCTCTGCAGTATAGGTGTCCTCTGGGTGTCAGGCGTAGAACACTACAATGCAAGGCTCGGCAAACTTCTGCCCCGTCTTGAGGGCACCCAGGGCCAGCCCAAGACATTTTGTTGCCCAAAGTCAAGTTCAATATATGCCTTCCCCCTGCTTCTAATCCACATGCAGAAGCCAACTAGACCGGCAGCCAAATCTTAGATCGCACTTGGACAACCTGTTTTTATTTAGCGTTGAACCTGATTTGCTTTCAGGGAGATTAGGCGGCTATTGAATGAGCATTCATTTTGATTTGTTTGAGGGGAGGTCAGATGACCATTGTGTCAGGGCAAGTGTTGTCCCACACTTCCCCATGCATTTGCAAAAAAGGTTTGACCTTTGGAGAGAAGTGAATTTATTGCACAAGAACTCCTGACCACCTGCAATTGTGCAACCTGGATTTTCCAATATATGACTGAATCTTACCTGTAGATATTGACAAGTCAGGAAATGACCTCGCTTTGATACTGACATGAGAACAACGCCCTCCACTGTACCCGCAGCAGGTTATTTTAGGAGGTACAGGGTAAGCTGTTAGCACAAACACCTCATCATTTCCTGTGCCCCCAGCATCTGCCACCTGAGGCAACTGCTTCACTCTGCCCAATGATAGGGCTGGCCCCAAGTGCCACATTCCCTTAGAAGTAATCTGTTAGGGGCCACATACTGGAGCCAGATACAAAAAATGTTCTGGATTAAATAATCCAGAATAAGACTACCCTGCTTCAATGTTTACTTTGCTCCCATCAGATTAAAATTCCCAATCCTATAGGTCCACTCAGAAGTTAAGTCCCACCAGGTTTGATGGGGTTTCTCTCAAATAGCACCTTCTTAGCAACATCTCTCTGTAGTGTGATGGAATGTGCTGGTCAGGTCAACCAAACCAGCGCTCTGCAACTGCCCACCCCCCGGCCCTTTCATTCATTTCCATAATCCCAACACTAGTTGTCCAGGCCAAGAGTGGCTAGAGGCAGAAGTATGGCCAACAGGGAATCCCCCAGACCTGACTGCATTGTTGCTGGGCGAGTCGCTACACATCCTCAGCTCTGATGCCAAGATGATGTCATTGCCCGTATAAGGAGGAATAAAAGAAGTGGTAGGGAACAGGGCCCCCACCCAGAGCCCCACATTTGGATGTTTTGGATTTATGGTTGCAGCCCCAGCACCAACATTAATGGTTGCCATGAGGCCAGGTTCGTAGGATCAGTTTTAACTATGGTTAGCTAAAACGTGTGGTTTATAAACCATAGCGTCGTGTTATGTGCAAACCAGGCCACTGGCTTCACCCATTACCCACAACTCTGTTACCTTTGGGAAGCTCTCTGAAAGGACACTCCATTATAGCATCAGGCACTTCCCCAGGATTCAGAGGCACGCATGGTGAGAATTCCCTAGGGGCCCAGATCATTCCAGAACCTGTAGTTTCTTGCTGGAACACATCCACTTTTTGCCACCCAAGAGCCAGTGAATCTGTAAAGCAGGAAAACGAGGTTCTTAGTCGGTTTACATCTCTTTTGGGGGTAACCAAACCAGGCAGCAGCAGCAGCAGCAGCAGCAGCTCTGAAGACAGGAGTCCCAGAGAGGGCAAGTGGCCTTTTCTCAACCAAGGGCTAAATGCAATTCTTTTGTGGGCTATTTTGTGTGCAAGTGTGATGATAGTTAAGACTGGTGCACTAGGGGGAATGGGGTGCTAACCCATCAGCCTCACTCTGCCCTCAGCCAGACCCCGCCTTACTTGTCTCCTTACAGCCAACCGAGGAGGTGGCACTGCTGATACTCACAACTACTCAGAATTAACAACAACAACAATAAACTTGCCCTTCACCCTAAGATCCCAGGGTTACAACAGTCCAAAACAAGATAAAATCACTGAAATAAGGAGGGTCCTAAAATTCAGATAGCAACGATGAGAGTAAAGGAGTTTTGTATTTAGTGGTGCACTCTCCTTCCTTGGAGGTTTTTAAGCAGAGGTTGGATGGCCATCAGCCATGGGCGCTTTAGTTGAGATTTCTGCATTGCAGGGGGTTGGACTAGATGATCCTTGGGTCCCTTCCAACTGTTTGATTCTATGAAGGCTATACAATGAAGGTGTCAGATGCACCACTGTGGGGAGGGAGTTCCACAGCTCAGGGGCTGCCCCAAACAATCCTCTGTTCAGATACCGTGTGTGGAGAGAATGCGAACTGCGCCCACCAAAGAAGACGTTACCTGTTCCTTTAGGACTGTACGTGACCTTCAACAAGATGTAAGGTTTTGCGTCCTGCACGCCTACGAATGCTGTTGGGTCCAGGGAATCAAATGCAAATGATTCTTGACAACAAGAACAACAAAAGACAAGGGACAGTATTTGATCATTGTGTTACTTTGTTTTAGAAACGATTTGCAGTTTTTGTAGCAAATAAAGAGATTTTTATTATGGTGGCTAATTTTGAAGGGATAGAATTCACTGGAATATATACCAAGTCAGACCATCTAGCGCAGTATTGCCAACACTGGATGGCAGCAGCTCTCCAGGGTTTCAGGCAACAACCCCCCCCCCTTGAATAAACATTCACAAACTTTTTATTGATAATAATCAGCTAAATAGTAACATGCAGAAAACAGCAGTCTCAGAGAAACCAAAGACTGGAACTGAGGGAAGTCGGGGGGCGGGGGGAGGGAGAAAAAAATAAGGATGATATGTTTCTGGATAATATGTTTTGTTTTAATTTTGAATAAAATAAAAAAAATCCCCCCAGCCCTACCTGGAGATGCAAGGAATTGAACCTGGAACCTATGGGAATTGTAGTTCAACAACATATGGAGGGCCGCAGGTTAGTCACCCCTGTTTCAGAAGCCGGACTTAATGGTTTTACTAACTCCCCACGTCTTTAGATGGCCATATGCATTATTTAATTCAAGTGTGGTAAGCCAACCCTGCTGGATTTCTAGGGGTGGTGTGGGGAGCTGCTGAATGGGGCCCTAGACCTATCTCAATCCTCATTCAGTACCTAGAAAAATTCATGGATTCTCCCTAAGGCCACACTGACTTCAGAAGCACAGGAGAGCAGAAAGGGCTCTCCCTGGTACTGTACCGAGCAAGGAAACACTTGGAAAGCAATGAAGCTTCTTGGCGATTTCTGATTGTTTATAGCTTATTTGTAACTTGAGGAAAAACCTTTGCCCTTATTTACCCAGCAGGTCCCTGAGGCCCATGAGAGAGCTTCTCCTGAAAAATCCAAAGATATCGGAAGCATGCTTGCCCCACCATAACCAGGAGCAGGGCTTTCCTTGTGTAATAGCCGCTGTTCAACATACGACAGGCACCCACTGTACTTGCACTTTCCAGGAAAAACAGAAGACATTGATATTCAGCCTTCCCAGCTGGATGAATGGGTCTCTGCCATTGGTGTCTATTTTGCTCTATCTATCTATCTATCTATCTATCTATCTATCTATCTATCTATCTATCTCTCTAGCTGTCTGCCGGGCTTTGTTGTTGTTTTCAAATTGTTCTTATTGTACATCGCCTTGAGATGTCTCCCGGAAGGCGTTAAATAAATTAAGCAGAGGAAGAGGGCAGAATTCCTGCATTGCAGGGGGTTGAACCTTGACGTCCCTCCCAACTCTACAGTTCTGTGAAGAATGATGGGGACCAAAGTCAGCGAAGATCTGTGGCCTGCTTTGCATGCAGAAAGTCTCTGTTTCTGGCATTTCAAGTTAGAAAGACCCTCTGCTTGAGACCTTGAAGAGCTACTGCCTCTCAAAGTACTAGGTAAAGCAATGGCTTGAGACAGCATAAAGGCAGCTCCCTATGTTCTGGATTAGCCTGTTAGATAAATACTAAGAACCTTCGCTTGGTCAAAAACATACTTCAGGGGTAAAAGCTTCCCACTCCAGAAACTGGGGGACCAGTGGCCCTCCAGATTTTGGCTGGACTCCAGCTCCCATCAGACCAGGTCAGCATGGCTAATAGTCAGGGATGATGGGAGTTGTAGTCCAACAATATCTGCATCCCTGGCCTGCAGCTTAGCTCCCACACTGGGCTTCAGTTCTAAGTTGGCTGTGACCTTCCTTTAGTCAGTTTCTCATCTTAAGTACTTCCTACCGACAAAAACTGCAAACGGCGTAACATTTCCAATTCCTCAGCAGGACTAGCTTGGGAGGGAAGGGGGAAGGAGGGAAAAAAAGATATTTTATGTACTGCCTGGTTGTATAACAGCAGTACTCTCTATTGATTTGCAGTATTCTCACAATAAATAGCTTTTGAGCTTTAATTAAACCTCTCAATTTGTTTCCAGCCATTAGTCAATCTCAGCAGCAACTTATTGTTCTGCACAGTATATTACAAAAAGCAGGGAGAAATTAGCTCATAATTTATTCAGCAGACAGATTTTCTGGGGATAACTTAATTCTTTTGGGGCGGACCTACATGTCAGAAAGAACACGGGACTGCTGCCAAGGATGACAGACAGCAACTCCCATCATCATTAGTGTTTTTTATTATTTATTAAATTTGTATGCTGACCTTTGTCCGAAGACCACAGGGTGGTTCACAACAGAATGAGAACACAAAATACATAATAAAACGAAAACGAAACAATAACCTCCTCTCCAACCAGGAGATAACCAGAGCATGTACCACTCTGGCGAGACGGTGTGCGGACAGGTAGGGTCTCAGCTAGCATACCAGATGGAGCTGGTAGACAGCCGCCCTGGACACAGATTTGACCTGCATGTGCTTCCACAGACAGCTGTGAGTCCAAAATGACTCCCGGGCTGTGCAACCGGTCTTTTATGGGCACAGTTACCTGGTTCAGGGGGACACGGGTGGCGCTGTGGGTTAAACCACAGAGCCTAGGACTTGCCGATCAGAAGGTCGGCGGTTTGAATCCCCGCAACGGGGTGAGTGCCCGTTGCTCGTTCCCTGCTCCTGCCAACCTAGCGGTTTGAAAGCACGTAAAGGTGCAAGAAGATAAATAGGTACCGCTCCAGCGGGAAGGTAAACGGCGTTTCTGTGTGCTGCTCTGGTTCACCAGAAGTGGCTTAGTCCTGCTGGCCACATGACCCGGGAGCTGTACGCTGGCTCCCTCGGCCAATAAAGCGAGATGAGCACTGCAACCCCAGAGTTGGTCACGACTGCACTTAACGGTCAGGGGTCCCTTTACCTTTACCTGGTTCAGGACCAGGGGATCCCTCACACCTGGCCACCCACTTTCTCCCAAAACAGAGTTCATTCTCAACCTGTGGACCACCATCCACTGGAGAGCTGATGTTCCCTGGCTGAGCACCAGCTTAGGGAAGGGCAAGCTATTTATTGTAGTTTGGCTGATAATGACCTTCCACCATTAAAAATACTCAGCAACTTGTTCATTTTCATACCACTGAACTGAAGAGTAAATCCCATTTCTGTTTTTCCTTGGGTTTTCCGCAGAAGGGAGGAGATGAAAGAGCTTGTCTTGGAACGCAGCATTTCAGGGCCACAAAACACCGAAACTGTTAACTTCACAGCAGAGGGATCAAATTTTTTAAAGAGAGACTCCTATGAGAAGGGAGTGGGGTGGGGGGTGGGGATTGAAAAAAAGGAACAAGACACATTATTCTACATTACAACGAATGGGTCACTGTGCAGATCAATTTAATTAATTGCAGGGGGAAAACATTACTTTCCCAATGCCTACTTGTGATTGCATTACTGAAAGGGCACAAGTCTTCAGTCCATCCTGCTATAATGTACAATACAGTCAGCAAACAAAGGAAAATATATCACTGGTCATAACTGGCGTGATCCATTACAATAGAGCAGTGGCTTTCAAACCCTGTTTCAGTGGCATGTGGGAGGGTGGAGTGGTGATGTGGGGCAAGGTTAGCAGGGAGGGGCTCTGGGATGGCAGCATACAACCTACGGGCACTCTCTTCCACCTGCACTGCAAATGGATCTGGTTGAGACAACAGGTATAGCATTTTGCAAAATCATGCTATGTTTTCTATCCCCTCCCCAAGGGAATTGAGGACACGACTTAAGACTTATAGTCCTTTGACACTGGATATAAATGTATTTCTTAATCTGTATCATGGTACTGCTTTTGTGTACTCCCTTTTTCAGTTCTGCATTTCATGCTTTATATTGAGTCATGGTGCTATTGTTTGGGTTTATATTAAAATGAATAAAAATTGAAACAAAAATAATCGAGTGAATTAGAAAGATTAAAAGATAGCAATTGCAGAGTAATGAGTAATGTGATTTCATCTGGGTGGGGCTCCAGATGTGGTAGGACTCCATCTCCCATCATCCCTGACCGGGGCTGATGGGATTTGGAGTTCAACAACGTCAAGGTGGGCCCCAGGTCCCTCACCCCTGCCATGGGTTTTGCTCAAAACAAGTTATCTACACCCCCAACTCTCTTCACTTGACTTCTCTCTTTGGTAAATTAAAGATTATTGCCATGCCCATATAATTAATTTACTACTTACACTGTGGCGAGTCTCAGCCCGAGGAACTGGTAAAACTACCGTCAATAAAATATCCTTCACGCCAGTTGGCGAGATTTCCCCAGGGTCCAGACACATTTTTCCAGCTGTGAAAACAAATTGTCAAAAGATCATCATTAACCAATTTCCAGAGGGGCAGCAAAACCAATAAAGTGTGTTTTGGCACCTTAAAAACAAAAGCCCTCCCCCCCCATGTCCTTTTCATTGTCCATTCATGATGATTTGCGTTCATGAGGGTATCGGGGTGGTTATCTGCAATCCCGCTTGAGATGCTGTTTGTGTTCTGGGGCGGATATATTGCTCTGTTTCCAATTGGTGCATGTTCCATAACTTCCTGCTGAAATCCTGTAACTTTTTATAACATGCATGTTCTGGGGCAGCAGGGCCGGTTCTCCCACTTTTGTGGCCCTTCGTCAGAAGATCTCAAGGTGATTCACAAGACAAGACAACTGTTGCACCTGTGACCCACAAGCAACAACAACAGCCCACCAGCCTGGCCCAGTAATTGCAGAATACCACGCATGGAGGGGGTAAGAAGAAGCAGGCACCCAATGTTACAAAAAGCATGGCTTATTCTACCAGGCACTGCAGTTTCTTGAATGAGTCTAAACCCCTTTTTTCAGAGGAAATCTAATAATGATTGCAGAGTGCTTTAGAAAGGCTCAATACACAGTAGAGTAAGTCATGATTGTTGTGGTAGTTGAGATCTCTGCTAAGACATGCCAGCTATTGTGATCTGCAGGGACTTTTAACCTTTACACTCTCTCTTTTGTGTTCTTCAGTATTAGCATCAACCTAGAACAGGGCGGGTTGCGGGGGGGGGGGAGTTACGTACCTTCTGCTGAGCCATGCCTCGGAGGAGACAGATCCACAAGCGGCCTGCACATGCAAATAGTGCTAATTAGTGGGTTTTCATAATTTAGTTCCTCCTCTCAGTACACAGAGGAAGAGGAGGGAGCAGTAGGCAACAATCAGAGCTAAATTCTCATTTTAATTACTTTTGCTCATTAAAGTTATTCTGCAGTCTGCTGTGAAAAACACACACATCCCAGAAAAACACAAGCAGGAACAACAGAGTCCAGCATTTGTACCTGAAAACAACAACCAAAAACCACAACTACACACATGAGCATCGCAAAACTATTTCTGCACACAGCACAGACAGGCATGCATAATTTCCCAGTATAAAATATTCATTGTGGCTGAAGGATTTAGAATTGCTCTCCTTAATTTATAAGTCAAATGAGAGAATGGCTGCACCGCAGTGTTTTCTCAGCAAGAGGAGGAAGATCGAGTGGGCAGAAAGTGTGGCTTAAGAGTGCTGCAGCCAGCACAACAATTGGAATGCCAAAATTAGGAGTGTGCGACTCCAGAAGTCATCTAGTCCAAGCCAGTGTCCTTTAACACAGGAAGAGCCACCTGTGACTATGATGCAATGGGCGGTATCCATTGCATCCATTTTCGTAGGTGGAAGTCACTAAATGCCTATGGGTTGACTTTATTTTTGCCCTACTCAGAGTAGACCCACTGAAATTAATAGACATGACTAATAGAAGTTGATTAATTTCTGCGGGTCTACTCTGAATAGAAGAAACTATAACAGCAGCAGCAGCAACAATCATGGCTAGGGTTGATGGGAGCAGGAGTTCCCCATCCCTGGTGTACAGTGGTACCTCAAAAGTCAAACGGAATCCATTCCGGAAGTCCGTTCGACTTCCAAAACGTTCTGAAACCAAGGCGTGGCTTCCGATTGGCCGCAGGAAACTCCTGCGGCCAATCAGAAGCTGCGGAAGTCATGTCAGACGTTCGGGTTGCAAAGAACGTTCGCAAACCGGAACACTCATTTCCGACTTTGCAGCGTTCGGCAGCCAAACCATTCGACTCGCAAGGCGTTTGGAATCCAAGGTACGACTGTTATTTGGTTCCCAACCAGTCTTGTAGGTATTTTTGAGCCAGGGTGTGGTCCTCTACCTTTGATTCAGTCTATTAAGCCCAGGAACATCAGCAGGCAAGCCCCCTTGCTGTAAGTGAATCCAAGCCCTTTGAATGTCAGCTGTGAGAAGCTGGGAGGCTGAAGACAGAAACACCTGAGAGGGAGAGGGAGAGAGGAATTCAACACTCTGCATGATGCAGATTGGATCATCAGTATTTCATAGGCGCCAAGGCCACTTTCTGCTGGAAATAAAGGCATTCTCCTCTCCCTTAAAAGGACACCTGAAAAATATGATTTGTTTCTGCAAACTCACCTTATTGTTCCGCTCCCCCCCCCGCAATATTCATTATGAAAGGCTGAATTGTTTTTGTCTATGGGTTTATTTCCTAATAGGTTTATTTCTTATTCTTTTTAATATAAATGATGCTATCAAGCTCATCATGACATTATCATCACTGGATCGGATTGTTATAATAGGTGTGATACTTGTTGTATATTTTGTCATTTCTATGGATTCTAAACTGCTTTGTGTATAAAAAGGCAGTTGCTTAAATTAAAAATGAAATGAAATAAACCTCATTTTATCCACAAATGTTCTGTGAAGGTAAGATAGCCAGAGAGAGAGAGAGAGAGAGGGAGGGGAGAGAAACTGGCTCAAGGCTATCCAGTGAGCTTCCGGTCCAAACTGTGATTTGAACCCAGGTCTCCCAAATCCTCATCTGACACAGGAACAACACAGAAACATAGGAAACTGCCTTATAATAAGTCAGACCATTGGGTTAACCTAGACCAGTACTGCCTACACAGACAGGCAGCAGTTTTCTGGGGTTTCAGCCAGCCCTGCCTGGAGATGTCGGGGATTGAACTTGTAACCTTCTGCATGCAAAGCAGATGATCTGCCATTGAGCGACAGCTCAGTCGGTAAAGCATGAGACACTTAAATCTCAGGGTTGTGGGTTCCAGCCCCACATTGGGTGAAATATTCACGAATTGCAGGGAGTTGGCCAAATGATTGCCTTGGTCCCTTCCAACTCTACAGTTCTATGGATCACAGCCCCTCCCCAGGGCTGTAACTCCAGCAGGAGCCCATGATGCTGGCAGATCCAGCTGAATCGCACTGGAGCCTTCAGGACCTCAGACAGCTCCAAGTTGGCAACTGGCTCCAAGGAAGACCTTTTGTCTCCTTTGAGCCAGACTATCCCTCTTAAGGGAGGGACATGGATGGTGCTGTGGTCTATACCACTGAGCCTCTTGGGCTTGTCGAACAGAAGGTCGAATCCCTTGGCCAGTAAAGCGAGATGAGCGCCGCAACCCCAGAGTTGTCCTTGACTGGACCTAACGGTCAGGGGTCCCTTTACCTTTTATCCCTCTTAAGCTCCACTCTCCTTGAGGAAGTGTCCTCTGGCCCAGAACTTAGCACCCCCCTTGCTTCCCCATCCACTTCCACTTTGTGCATTGCCAGCAATGAGGAGCAGGGACTGGGGAGCCCAAGACCCCTGGTGTAGAGGGGGTAGCTCTTTGGAGGTATAATAATAATAATAATAATAATAATAATAATAAATGTTATTTATACACTTAATTGTAAAAGCAGCATAAAATACAGTATAAAAACATGAATAACAATAAAATTCAAAATTTGGAAATCAATTTAGGGGAAATAAGCATTAGATAATCACCAAGGCTAGCTGGCTGAATTAGTCCCACTTGGGCCAGCGATGAGGCCAGGGGAGAATTAGCTGTAGGGTCTCAGAATGGGTAATCTTCATAAAAGGGGAGGGGGAGGGAAGAGAAGGGAAATAAAAGATCAGGCTGAATTCAGATTAAAGGCCAGGTGGAATATCTCTGTCTTACAGGCCCAACGGAAGGAGGTTAAATCCTGAAGGGCCCTAGTCTCATGGGACAGAGCATTCCACCAGGTCGGAGCCACCACTGAAAAGGCCCTGGCCCTGGTGGAGGATAGTCTGACTTCCTTAGGGCCCGGGACATCTAAACTATGGTTATTCATGGACCTTAAGGTCCTCTACGGGGCATACCAGGAGAGGCAGTCCCATAAAAAAATCTGGCTCATGAAGTGCTGCTGCCTCATGGCACCCTAGTTTGAGGTCTCTGTCTCCAAGGGCTCCCAATTTGGGGGCCTGTACTCAGCACCTCGGTAGCTTAATAACACAGGAAGAGCCTGTGGCCCATCTAGTCCAGCATCCTTGAAGTCCCAACCAGAAGTGCAAGTAGGACCTGAGCGCAAGGCTTCTCCTCCAAAGACCTGCCTGGATGGTGCACAGCCTCTGTGCCAGACACGAGTCCTGGCTGATGCTTGAGGTTGCGGCACATGGATACAAGAGAATACTTCTCCATGCAGCACCTATCAGTGGCTACGGGCCATGATGGCTATGTTCTATGATGCTTCTGAATACCAGTTGCTGGAAGCCTCAAGAGAGGACAGTGCTCTTGCGCTCAGATCCTGTTTGTGGGTTTCCCACAGGCATCTGGGGGGCCACTGTGAGAGCAGGAAGGTGGACTAGGTGGTCCATTGGCTGTTCTTTTGTTTTTTATTATTGCAATGTATAGAGAGAAGAAAGGAAGGGGAGGGCAGGGAGAAGTGAAGCCAGTAAGAGGAAGAATATGAGCAAGAAATCAAAATTCCAGATTCTTTCCCTCCCCCCCCCCATCTAACTGCAGCCCCCAAATAGAAAGCAAGCCAATACACACTTGTCGAACTGCTGGGTAGTCATCAGCTGCCATGAACGAATCCTTTAATAACAGAAGGACGGAGACACAGAAATTCTGCATCACATCCAGGTTCCAGTCTTTCATGAATAACTGGTCCCAGATCAACAAGACAGCAGGCAAGTTCAGGACACCGACAAACCCCTGTGCGAGACAGGAAAGCCAGTTTTATGTTGGTGCCAGTGTCTCCCCAACGCGTGATAGCCAAGGCACCGTTTTCTTTCTAAAGCTACATTGGAGGAGGGCATTGCAAAAGAGGTTTCTTCTCAGAATGTGTGAGCACAAAAATGACCCATCCGAACAGGAGGCAATCCCACTCTGCGTAAGTCGCTCTTCAGGGTCTGCCTCCTCCAAAGGCAATTAACTCCCCTGCTTCTCTGCAAGAGCAAGATGGACATTAATTCTCCAAGTTGCGTATGATGTTAAGGTGGGACGGAATCACATAATTCCAGTGGAAGCTGATTGGGAACCAGAGCAGTAATTCTTACAGAGACACAACAGGCAGCTTCTTCAAAAGGCAAGTAATTCTGCTGTCATGTGATCCAATCACAGCCGATGCAAAGTCAGGGCACAGTTACCTGCACCTAGCAAAGGCAGACTGGAAGGAGGGGAGGCTAGAGGAATGAATCATGCAGAGATGCATTGGGAAGACCCCTCTGCAGCTGGGTAATTTCTTCTGCGTTTGTGCAGGAGGAGTGACTTGCTGATCCCATCACACAAAATGCTGAGAGGTAGCAGGATTAGCCGTTCCTCAGCAGTGGCCACTAGCATGAGTCAACAGCTGCTGAAGCAAGCTAGGCTTAAACAAGAGAGGCTTGTCTCACTGCAGGTAGAGAGAGCCACCCAAACTGAGCTGCGGTTCTATTTAAGAAACAGTCTGGTGCTGAAGCAACATTTCAACCCTGCCCCTGTGAGGCTCCAGCTTGAACATCTTACCTTGCCAGAGCAGTGAATCATGCAGAGACACAGCAAGCAGCCTCCCTCTGGCGGGGGGGGGGCGCTCACAGGAGCCTTTAATTGTTTATTTTACTCTTCATGACACATTAGCCACTTTCTATAAGCACAATGGAAATCGCTGCCATAGAATCTGTCCTTTCTGCAGCTAGGGGCTCCTTGACAAGCTGGTCAAGGTGGGAAGGAGTTTCTCCCCTCTTCTTCCATAACACTAGCTGAAGAATTTGGAATCCACTGAGCCAGAGCGCACATTGGACACAGCAGTGTGGCTGCAGCTAGGACAGCCCCCTTGTGGCTGCAAGCTGGTGCTGCAGACACACTCCAGAAACATTACACAACTTCACCCTTATGAGAAATCTCCTCCACGGGGTCTAACAGGATTCTGCAACATATTCTGGTCACCTCAGTAAAGTTTTCAGTTGTAAAGGCAAATAATTTATTTGACAAGCTCCCCACTATATCAAAAAAGGATTTGCTGGCTTCTTCGTTTTTACCTCTCCCATCCACTTCCTAAGGAAAACCATGGGGCTTGCCAGTATTTCTTTGGTTCCGTTTTGTCTTGATGGGAATCCATCTTCAAACGCGCAGATCCCTTGAGCTCTCCCTCTTTCCTGAAGTATCAAATCCACCAGGAAATCCTTAAAGAGGGGAAGGAACCATAGCATTTGTGGTGGAATAATAGCGGGTCCTCCCCATTCTTCACGTTCTACAAGCATGGAGCACTTTCCATTCCAATTGGCCTGTTGAATCTGAGGCATAATCTGAGGGAACCTAAGGCCCTCTGGGATTCCCTGTCTGGCCCTCCCTAGACCACACTGGGCCTGTTCTTTCTTTTGTTTCTTCTTTACTACAAAGTGTCCTTGAACTGTGATACCACACCCCTTTCTTACCTGATGGGCCTAGGACTCCCCTGCTGGGGGCCCCAGTCCTGCCACTCACCACCTGGCCTAGGGCGGGGCCTGGTGGGCTCCATAAAGAACTGCTGCCGCTGCTCCTGTGCAGAGAGGGCTTCGTTTTTTGTTGTGTTTTTGTTGTTTTAAATTGCTGTTATTTTTTAGCTATGTCATTTTAAGGGACCCCTGACCATTAGGTCCAGTCGTGACCGACTCTGGGGTTGCGATGCTCATCTCGCTTTATTGGTCGACGGAGCCGGCGTACAGTTTGTGGGTTATGTGGCCAGCATGACTAAGCCGCTTCTGGCAAACCAGAGCAGCGCACAGAAACGCCGTTTACCTTCCCGCCAGAGTGGTACCTATTTATCTACTTGCACTTTGACGTGCTTTCGAACTGTTAGGTTGGCAGGAGCTGGGACTGAGCAACGGGAGCGCATCCCGTCACGGGGATTCAAACCACCAACCTTCTGATCAGCAAGTCCTAGGCTCTGTGGTTTAACCCACAGCGCCACCCATGTCTCATGTCATTTTAAACTGTGATATTAATGCTGTAATCTTAGTCTTATATTTTGATTTATGTGGAAATTGTTTTCCATTTGGTTGTGTATTTTTTTGATGTGGTTTATTTATTGTTTATGACTTTTGTAATTATATAAATCTTGTCATGTTGTAAGCTGCCTTGAGCATTGTTTTTAACTGTGTTGAGCCGGTGTTTGTCCACAGACAGCTTTCGGGTCATGTAGCCAGCATGGCTAAGCTGCTTCTGGCGAACCACAGCAGCGCACGGAAACGCCGTTTACCTTCCCGCGGGAGCGGTACCTATTTATCTACTTGCACTTTAATGTGCTTTCAAACTGCTAGGTTGGTAGCAGAGACCAAGCAACGGGAGCTCACCCCGTCGCAGGGATTCAAACTGCCGACCTTGCCATCAGCAAGCCCAAGAGGCTCAGTGGTTTAGACCACAGCGTCACCCACGTCCCTTACTTCAAAACTGTATTTTTATCTAATTTTATTCATGCTATTGTACACTGCTCTGGAATCTTTTGAAGAAGGGCAGCAAATAAATATCTTAAATAAATAAATAGGTACCTTAGGGTCAACTGTGACATTCTTTCTGAAAGCGCGATGAAGGTGAGCAAAGAATTCAGCATCTTCTCTCTCCAGAAGGCTCATCACTGACTCCGCTGTTACAAAGAGTTCCCCCCAAGTTGGGAATAGGTTCTGGTGTAGAGAATGCAGGTACATGGCTAATTCATAGGGGTGTTCTGCTACAATTAAAATCAAAGCAATCATGTTAACCTTCATATATTATAAGATACCCCCCACCCATTTCAATCACCAAGTTGGGTGGGAGAGAAAAAGCTGTGGCAGACAGAGAAAAGGGGTGGCAGAAAAAGATAGAGAGAAAAGTAGTGTCAGAAAAGAGAATGTGAAAAGGGGGTTGGAAGAGAGAGAGAGACAGACAGACAGACAGACAAACAGTCAGAGACAGAGAATGGGTGTCAAAAAAGAGTGTGGAAAAAGGGGTGGCACAAAGAGAGAGAAAATGCTGGCACAAAGAGGGAGAAAAGGAAAGGCGCTCCCACTTTTGGCTTGTGTTCCAACTACCACCAACTCTACCCCCCCCCCACCAGGAAAAATATTCCCCAATTCCTGCTCTAGCAGGTTTTTGTAATTCTTGTATTACCTAGCCATTCTTTGTCAGTCTAACCTAGGTGCTAAAAGTATTCAATTAGAATTAAATACTTCCAAACCCAGGAAATAGTTTTGAGTACCAAAACTGAACTGAGATCACAATCCTTCCGTACGAAAACCTACCCCAGAAATACTCAACCTCCCAGATTCCAACGCCATGGCTTTCTTCATTTCAGAAGTATAATTTTAGAGGACATTCATGTTGTTGTTGCCATTGCTAAACTTTTGGGATCCTCCCTGATCTACTTGAATCCCTCCCCTTGAATATCAGACGGGCAACATCCCTGTTGTCCTTCTGGTGCCTACTGAAGACCTTCCTCTTTCAACAGGCCTTTTTGGGATCTTTCCAAGTCTGCATCTGCATCACAATTGTATTTAAGATTTTTTTGTTTATCATTTTATCTCTTGTTGTTTGCCACCCTGGACTTCCTTGGGAGGAAGAGTGGGATATAAATGTAATTAATAATGTAACGCTTCAAATCACCCAAGAGACCTACCAACAGATGAAGGCATAGCACCTGCACACAGAGGAACAACAGAAATCCTGTAGTCATTTTGGGCAGTAAATGATTTACCTCTTGGTGCTGTTTGCTTAAATGCCATTTGCAGAGGGAAAAGCCAGTAGATGAGGTAGGGGTCATAGGTGCCGTTGAAAACATACAAGACATTTAAGCTTTTGCTGGTCTCCAAAATCACCTGCTCATTTGTAGCAAAAGGACGCATGCAGGGAACGCTTCTATATTTCTGTTGGAAGAAATTAGGTGGGTGGCAGAGGGAGAAATGCTGTATTTTGGGCAAGTAGCAGTGAGAACAGCATGGGAGTGAAAATATTCAAGTTAATATAGGACAAAACTTCTCAGTTTTAACAGCTAAAAGTGTGTTTGGTGTTGCAACACAGTCCTTCTAAATAAGCCCATAGCAGGAACTAAGGGGCCATAACTATGATTTTAGCAGTTGTCGCTTCATATGCAAGCTGCCTTAAGTAAATATATTAATAATAATGACAGCAACTCCACGGCAGAGCGTAGATTTCATATGCAGAAGATGCCAGGTTCAATTATCCCAGGTTGTACACAACTTTTATATATATATATATATATATATATATATATATATATGTGTGTGTGTGTGTGGTTTTCAATGTTTTTAAATCAATTGTTTATCCCCAGCAAGTCAAGGTATTTACTTACATTACAAAATTTATATGCCACTTGCCGGTTAAAAAAAAAAAGCATCAAAGCAAAAAGAACAATAATATTATCAATATAAACAGTTTAAAGCAGCTATGGTGGTACCTCGGATTAAGTACTTAATTTGTTCCGGAGGTCCATTCTGAACCTGAAACTCTTCTTAACCTGAAGCACTACTTTAGCTAATGGGGCCTCCTGCTGCTGCCGTGCCGCCAGAGCACGATTTCTGTTCTCATCCTGAAGCAAAGTTCTTAACCCGAGGTACTATTTCTGGGTTAGCGGAGTCTGTAACCTGGAACGTATATAATCTGAAGCGTATGTAACCCGAGGTATGTATTTGAAACATTTCCAAAAATAATATTTAAAATCAACAGTAAACGACAACCAGATTAAAAAAAAACATACCAACATTCTACATGTCTGGATAGGCTTTGCCTAAACAAAAAATGCCTTAAGCAGGCATCAAAAGGACAATGGAGAAGATGCCTGCCTGATAGGCAGGGGGTTCCACAGTGAGTGTCCTGCAACACTAAAAGACTGACTTCTTAACAAATCCAGAATGAGTATCACAGCACCTGTAACAGTGCTGTTCAGCAGACTGAAGTGGTTAAATGGGCACATATGAGGTACGGTGATCTTGCAGGTAAACTGGTCCCAAGATGTTGTGAGCTCTATATACAAATAGTACCACCAGGTCAGGCCACTGTTGGAAACACTTCCACTTCCAGAGACAGGCGTAGGCAGAAACTGCAGGTCCATTCCAGCCTTTTTATTCTGCCTGCATCTCTCTCTGTCTGCTTCCTCTCCACCCCGCCTCACAGCTTCCCATTGAGCCATGGAAGTTGAGGGAACTGGGTTGCTGCTCCATACCCTCTTCCTCCTCACAATCCCACGTTTTTTGAAATATTAGGGTGTGCCTGCCTGCAACTGTCGGGGTCCTTCAACTCACCTCTACAACTGCATTTTCAATAAGACCTGAAAGAGGTGACCGTGTGGCACTTCGGAGATTCAGTTCCGCCATCCGCCATGCTACAGTTTGCCCAAAGTCCTCTCTGGCGTCTCTCTCAGTAGCCCTAGGATGGATTTTATAGTTTTGGTTTTTTAAAAATAGGTCTCAGGACTAATTTTTTTTAATTGAGAGAAGCCAGAAGCGGAGTTCAAAGTGCCAGAAAACAGAAGCAATGACCAAATCTTCAAGACAGATTATTCAACCCTACCAACAGGAAGAACTTTCTGACAGTTAGAGCTGTTTGACAGTGGAATGGACTCCCTCAGGAGGTTGTGGGTGCTTCTTCCTTGGAGGCGTTTAAGTTGAAGAGGTTGGGTGGCCATCTGTCATGGAAACTGTCACGGTCCGGTTCACGGGCAATCAAAGACCCGGCAGGGGACGTCAGGACCTGGGGCAAGATGGCGGGGTGGGAGCAGGAATGGGGGTCCAGAAGCCAGGAGTCAAGAAGCCAAGGGTCCGAGGGTCAGGAAGCAAGGAGTCAAGGGTCCGAGGATCAAGAAGCAGGAAGTCAAGAAGCCATGGGTCCGTGGATCAAGAAGCAGGGAGTCAAGAAGCCGAGGTTGAAGGATCAGGAAGCAAGAAGCCAAATGCAGCAAGGCAGGAAATGTGTTGCTGTGGCAAACAGCTGAAGGGAAATGCTGATCTTATATCCCTTCCCGGCTCTTGCCACCAGGTGCAGTGAGTTACCAATCGGCCTCACCTGTGAGGCTGCACCTTGCCTCTTCAGAACAAACTTAGGAAGGCCCCAGTCCTGCAAAGTCCTATTGGTCACAGGGCCTGACAGAAACTTTAGTTGAGATTCCTACATTGCAGGGGGTTGGAGTAAATGACCCCCGAGGTCCCTTCCAACTCTATGATTCTTCCAACTCCCAGAGGAACCTCCCTGACCACTAGGGCTTATAGGGCCAGAGTCTGGGCCCTCGTGGACACCTTACCCTGAACATAAAGAACTAGGCGCCTCCCCTTGCACATCACCAGTCTGACAGGGGCAGCGGAGCACCAGGAGGAAGGCTGTGGAAAGAAGGGGTGCCCACCTTCAGGCTAGAGGGTTGGCTCTTTAAGACTGACACTCTCTCAGGGTGTGGAGACTGGAGGAGGCAGTCTGGGGAGGTAGAGGCACAAAAGGCCTAAGCCTGCTGCCTGTTTCTGTTGGAGCAAGCTGGTCACTCAGAGCTGTCCATGGTCCTGCAGATTTCAACCAGACTTCCTGCTTTCCTCCCATGGGATCTCATATCAGACCAGAAGACATCTATGCCTTCACAGCACCAGCAATGGCTGACTCTACTGCTGTGCCAAGCCTTGTCTCACAGGTTTGGTCACCGCCATGGATGGTTCTCCTCACAGCCCCTGGGTCTGCAGCCAGGAGCCATTCTGGGACACAGATGTCTTTCCTAGCGTAATACGTAGGCTCCTTTGGTGAGGATTGGGGCCTTCTACACGCTACGCACGTGCTCCGCTGCTCAATTACGGCCCCTGCTTCATCAAGATAGGGAAGGGAGCGGTCAGGAACTTGTCTTCCCCATCTTCAGCTGCACTCCCGGAGATACTTACATGAGTTCTTTGGTTTGTGGGCTTCCAGAGCTGGCTCTCAGAAGTTTATCAATCCAAATGAACTGCCGGAGTGTCCTAGGAAGCAGTTTCCCACTAAGACTTTCACACGCCGCTGACATGTTCTCGGAACCTCGAGAGACTATGGCGCAGAGCAAATCGCCTAATAAATCGCTCTCTGGACAGCTAAGGACAGGGGGGTGTAGTTCAGGTCTGATATGCAACTGCAAGTCTGAAAAGAACAGACGTAATTTTGAAAATCCTGGAGAAGAGTGACTAGTGGGGTGCCACAGGGTTCTGTCTTGGGCCCGGTCTTATTCAACATCTTTATCAACGACTTGGATGATGGACTCAAGGGCATCTTGATCAAATTTGCAGATGACACCAAACTGGGAGGGGTGGCTAACACCCCAGAGGACAGGATCACACTTCAAAACGACCTTGACAGATTAGAGAACTGGGCCAAAACAAACAAGATGAATTTTAACAGGGAGAAATGTAAAGTATTGCACTTGGGCAAAAAAAATGAGAGGCACAAATACAAGATGGGTGACACCTGGCTTGAGAGCAGTACATGTGAAAAGGATCTAGGAGTCTTGGTTGACCACAAACTTGACATGAGCCAACAGTGTGACGCGGCAGCTAAAAAAGCCAATGCAATTCTGGGCCTCATCAATAGGAGTATAGCATCTAGATCAAGGGAAGTAATAGTGCCACTGTATTCTGCTCTGGTCAGACCTCACCTGGAGTACTGTGTCCAGTTCTGGGCACCACAGTTCAAGAAGGACACTGACAAACTGGAACGTGTCCAGAGGAGGGCAACCAAAATGGTCAAAGGCCTGGAAATGATGCCTTATGAGGAACGGCTAAGGGAGCTGGGCATGTTTAGCCTGGAGAAGAGGAGGTTAAGGGGTGATATGATAGCCATGTTCAAATATATAAAAGGATGTCACATAGAGGAGGGAGAAAGGCTGTTTTCTGCTGCTCCAGAGAAGCGGACACGGAGCAATGGATCCAAACTACAAGAAAGAAGATTCCACCTAAACATTAGGAAGAACTTCCTGACAGTAAGAGCTGTTCGACAGTGGAATTTGCTGCCAAGGAGTGTGGTGGAGTCTCCTTCTTTGGAGGTCTTTAAGCAGAGGCTTGACAACCATATGTCAGGAGTGCTCTGATGGTGTTTCCTGCTTGGCAGGGGGTTGGACTCGATGGCCCTTGTGGTCTCTTCCAACTCTATGATTCTATGATTCTATGAAAAAGTGACTCCTAAGCAGTCAAGGAAAGGGAAGTTATTACTACCTTCCACCCCAGCTCATAATTTGGAAGCAGCCGCTCCAGCAAGTCGGGGAGCGGGGAGGCTGAGATCGGCTCTACTGTGGTAGGCCAGCCCCACCAGGCCTCCTCTCCCCTCAGCTGTCACCCAGGGGCAGCTATTCCATCAGGCTGCCTCCGTGGGAGAGATGGGAAGCCATAGGACGCATTCCATCAGGTCTGTTGGAAGCCCAGCTCCGTCAGACACCTCCTGCCCCTAATCTGGGCCAGCTGGTCATTATAGGAACAAACAGTTTACAAACTGCTGCCTGAGTTTTGGTTCTGGTTTTCCACTCCCCTCTCCCTGTCCCTTCTCCCTTGTGTATCTATCTCTCTATTAACTGTAGGGACTGTCTTGTTTGGCTGGTATGTAAGTCGCTCTGAGATTGCTTTTGGCTGAAGAGCAGGGTTACAAATGCTGTAAATAAATAATAAACACAAAACCAAAGAGATAAACTGAACAACAACAGGCGTTGATTTTGGACCTACAGTTTAAACATGTCTGGAAATCAATGCATGCCAATAAGGACCCATGAGCCTTATTTATTTGGATCCACCAAGATCGCACATACAAATGATGGACTAAATTTTGTCGCGAGTCCAGGATTCTAAAAATGCGCCCGCCTTTAGTGTGTCACATGACTCTGTTCTTTAATGTGCCACATGACTCTATGTTCTGCCTCCACTGTTGGGGGCTGTTTGCTTCTGAGAACCAGTTGCTGGGAATCACAAGTAGGGAGAATACCCTTGGCTTGATCCAGCAGCCAGGCTCTGCTTATGTTCTGCTCTGATAGCTGTATACCCATATATCTGTGTGTCAGCCAGGAACTAAAGAACCGAGCCAGAGCAGCTGCATGATACCACACAGCAAACCACTTCTGAAAGTGCACGAAGTATCAAAAGTGGTTTGGAACATGTTGGAGAGAAGGAGCGTCAAGAGAGGAAGAAGAAAGTCAAAATGCCCACTGGCTGCCAGCACATCAGAAGTGGCTCTCTGAATTGCAGGCATTCCATTAGGATGTTGAAATTATTTTTCCAATGCAAGAGACTTTGGAGAGCTTTCTGTTTTCTTAGGTGCTTATTTGTTACCTGTTCTCCCACCAACCCAGCGACCCTTTCTCCCAGTTTTTAACACAACCTGTGCATACTTCACAATTGAACTATCCGGCTTCCGATTCAAAATATTTAAAATACTCCAGCGCTGTGGAGCTAAAAAGGCTCATGGGACTATGCTGAAAACAAGCTGGCAGAGTGGGATTATTTTGGAAAGTGACACATACGCCACGGTAAATTAAGCCTCGCTCACAGAGCGCTTGGGTGGGTGCACCAGTGTACCGAATTGCTTTTAGTATGAATGGATAAAAGATGAAGACACTCTGTATCAGTTGAAGGGAGGAGGGGAATAACCTCTATTAGCTCTTAGTGCTATGAAAGCAAACACTTGTGGGTGCCTTTGAAGTGGAGAGCTTTTTATGTTTCTTATGTTTCTGTATAGGGGGGAAAACAAACCTTTCAAAGCGGATCTGGCTTCTTTCTTTCAGTGGAAGGGAAGACAAACAAACGCACACACACACAGAGCAGATGTAGTGTGAATTAATCAATGATATCCAATTTGGAGATGACTCGCTCATTCAGAGTTTTTAGGTGTGTACACATAATGGTTTTGAAGTTAACACATGTAACATGAGTACAATGACCAAACTACTAAAAATGATAGGGACCCATAACGCCCGGCTCTCCCATTCCTCTACATTTTGTGGGGAAAGCACTAGTGACCTCCCCTTGCCCCCAATTTGGATGAGGACCAAGGAGCTGGAGGGGGAATTTTCATCAGGAAAATAGCACCAGTGGAGAAAGGGTTAACTCCCCAATGCTGTGGTCCCAAACCAAATCTTTCCCCCTGCTATATAGCCCAAGTCATTGGTGGTGGCTGTTCCCCACCTACATTTTTTTAAAAAGGAGATCAAATCGCAGATCTCCATCATCTCACCTGATCTGGCCCTTGTTTTCACATTATGGTCCCATCTACACCATACATCTGAATTGGATTTAAGGCTCTGGCTTCCCCCAAAGAATTCTGGGAAATGTAGCTGTGTGAGGCATAAACTACAATTCGCGGTTACCCTTAAGAAACCACAGTTCCCAGGATTAAATGGGGGGGGGAGCAGTGTGCTTTAAATGTATGGTATGGATGTGACCATTCTTTATATTACGTGAAATGTCCCAAATTCAATCCCTGGCATCTCCTGGGAGGAGATGGAAATATTGGAGTGTTATTGCTTGTCAGCTAGATGGACTGATGTTGATATGACTTGATACAAGGCAGCTTCCAGAGATTTTTAATGAAGCATGTTGGGCTGAACAAATTTTCCATACACAGGTTTAAGCCTCACTTTTAGAATTTCGAATGCAAAGCTGGTACCTTCTCCGTTTCCATTGACTTGAGAAGCTGGTCTTTCGGATAAGACTAGACAAATGTCTTTACTCTCAATGGATTTGGGCCTCTGCAGAACCACGGAAGTTTCTCCCGAGTCCCTTGATGATTGGGGCAGTTTACATAAAGCTTCACCTCCTTGCGCACTTCCTTCAAGATGGGCCTATGAAGATAGAATTTGCTGTCAATCATTGTAGTTTGGTAAGGATACTAACTAAGGCTGCAGCCATGCCAAACAGTTAAAGCACACTTTTTAAAAACTGTCAAACATGCCTAGTATTTACGGTGGTACCTCGGGTTAAGTACTTAATTCGTTCCGGAGGTCCGTTCTTAACCTGAAACTGTTCTTAACCTGAAGCACCACTTTAGCTAAGGGGGCCTCCCACTGCTGCCGTGCCGCCGGAGCACAATTTCTGTTCTCATCCTGAAGCAAAGTTCTTAACCCGAGGTACTATTTCTGGGTTAGCGGAGTCTGTAACCTGAAGTGTATGTAACCTGAAGCGTATGTAACCCGAGGTACCACTGTATTTGCAGTTGACACCCATTCATTGTTATTAAATAACTTATAAAACAGAATATTTTCCACAGAAAAAATTGGAAATTTTCCAAAAAACAGATTTCCCCCCCATCAAGTATCACCGATGATACACACTGCCATTGTGATGAGTCAAGCCAAGTTTTTTCATCTGCTCTGTGTATTAATGTTTTACTTTTACTTTTAATGATCTATTGCTTTATAGCTCATCATCATTTATTTTTATCGCAAGCCACTTTATTCTTTTATTAGAAAACTGGGATAAAAATGAACTACACCATTACGGAAAGAATGTTTATTAATAGGCCAAGGTTACTATTATTTCTTTGTTTTCATAGGATCATTAAACACACTTAAAGCTAGGTAAAGGTAGCTAGGGTTTTAATTTGGGGGGGGGAATAAGCTCAGTTAGGATTTTAATGAGAACCTATATTGGGATAAATGGGGCAATCCCATGGGACCATGTGACACCGGTCCTGAAAGCACTGGCCTGGCCTCCAGTGAGCTCCTGGGTGAAATTAGTACTAGCATAAAGGTAAAGGGACCCCTGACCATTAGGTCCAGTCGTGACCGACTCTGAGGTTGCGGTGCTCATCTCGCTTTATTGGCCAAGGGAGCACAGCTTCCGGGTCATGTGGCCAGCAGGACTAAGCTGTTTCTGGCGAACCAGAGCAGCGCACGAAAATGCCATTTACCTTCCCGCTGGAGAGGTACCTATTTATCTACTTGCACTGGTGTGCTTTTGAACTGCTAGGTTGGCAGGAGCAGGGACCGAGCAACAGGAGCTCACCCCGTCGCGGGGATTCGAACTGCTGACCTTCTGATCAGCAAGTCCTAGGCTCTGTGGTTTAACCCACAGCGCCATCCACCCTAAATGGCTTGAGACCCAAGTACCGAAAAGAGTGCCTTCCCCAATACCAAACGTTTTGGACAGTACGATTGGCAGGTGAGGCCTAGTTGGTGCTGCCGCCATCAGAGGCTGCCCAGTTGATGCTGACACATGGCAGGGCCTTTTCAGTGGTGGTTCATTGGTTGTGGAATGCCTTCCTTAATGAGGTACACCTGTCTCCATCCCTATTAACTATCAGAAGGAGTTTGAAAGCATTCCTGTTTATCCAGGCATTGGGTGGCTGGAGAATATTGTTCCCAGCCACCTCAAGATCACTGGATGGAATAATGCTTTCAACTGTAATTGTTTTTGGAACGTCTTAACCTGCTTTAGAATGTTTCTGCGTATTGGTTTTTATTTCTATATTTGTTCCTCCTTGGAGAGGAAGGGCGGGATGTAAATTCAATCAATCAAAAATAATTCTCACTCTCCAAAACAATATGAGGACCAAAAGAGAGCTATCTTTCAAAATTCAACATTTTCCTGAATTTTGTGATTCAATTCTCCAACCAATGTGTACCAAAAAAAATGGCTACATGAGGGGAAAGAATAAAAATGCATATATTAGTGAAAGTAATGAATAAAATGTGTTACATCAAGGGAAGTTGCTTGCCAAGAAAAACGTGTGTGCTGGGCAACATTTCATACAGGAGAAATTTGCGCTACAATACAAATGATTTTTCGCAAGGTCTTATAATAATAATAATGAACAGAAGCTTGGAGAAATGAGAAGCTGAGAGAAGAGGAATCAGTCAGATATATCTATCTCTGTTTAGGTTCCATTGGGGCTTACTTTTCCTTCCTACTTCTTAAGTGGAGGAATGCAGCAATTGGAGACCACAGGGAAATGGGGCGGGACTCCCCCCCCCCGGCACTGACCCAGGGTAGCCCAGCCCTCACTGATAAACAGCCCTCGGTGGTGGGGAACATTGCAATTCTCTTGTGAGAGATAAGCCCCTCCTTTCACACATATCCCAAATCTGGGATTTTAGAAATGCTTAATACGTTTTAAAAGTAGCATCATCAGCAGAACAGGGAAAATGCATTTATTACCTTGTGGCAGGCTCCACAGGTGGCCAACAGCAACTCCATCTTGGCTATTACAACACTGTAGACGTCGTCAAGAAAATGAACCATCTCAGGAGCCAGACTGGCTGCCTCAGCACCTGCTCCACAGAAAGTTAAAATCTCTGATCATTTATGAACCAGGAGGTGTGACTGTGATAACCACCTTCCACCCAGCTTACTTGCTTGTTGTAGAACACAAGTGGGGCAACCTGCGGCCCTCCAGATTCCAGCTCCCATCACCCCTGACCATTGGCCCATGCTGTCAGGGACTGATGGGAACTGGAGCACCCAAACAGCTAGACAACCACAGATTCCCTACCCCCTGCTCTAGAAAGAAGTGGAGGCACTTGCCTTTCATAGCTGGTGGCTACTAGCTGCGGAAATCTGGGACAGTGACACACCTCAGCTGCTTGGGCACAATTTGACAGGAACAGGCTGGCTGATCTGAATGCAGGCAAGTGAATAAAGCAGAACTGCTTGGTTTCGGCAGGTGGCCAAGAACGAGAAGCCATCGAGGAGCCTGCTCCAAGAGCAAATGGCTTGCTTTTTAGCTGACTTGATGCTGATTTCGCTTGCACCACCTGCATGTCCACTCTCTCTCCGTTCCTCATCCTGTTGCAATTCATGGCATTTGCAAATGATTGCACACATGGGACTGTGTCAAGTATGTGCGTGTTAAGGAGATGTTTTGTGTCATTATGTTTGTGTGTTAAGGGTGTGTAATTGCAGCTACTCAGGAGAGGGCATTCTTCATTCCAGCATCCTGACTATGTGATACCCTCTCCCTCAGATATGGTTGGCTAGTGGAATGGAAAGTATGGAGCCCAATGGCTTGTTGGGCCACACTTACTTTATGGTCTGGCCCTGCCCACTTTTGGGCTCCACCCAATGATGGAATGTTCCCACTGGGCCCCTGTAGTTTTCACCTTGGACTGAAAAAGGGTTTCCCAGTCTTGCTGTAAATCAAGAACCATAACGAAAACACAATGTCACAAGTCTCCTGTTCTCTCTTTTTCAAAAGACACTGACCGCATACATTCCAATTGCTTAAGGAGGGAAAAAAAGACATTTACAATACTGGTATTGACCCACCCTGCCTTTTAAATCCTTCCAAGGCTCCTTTTGGAACTCTCAGTAAAGCAAATGGGAAGTTTTCAGTGTGTCAAGAATACAGAACTGATCTTTCGACTTTTTTTAAAGCATCCCCCCCACCTCCTTTGAAAACAGCGATATTATTAACATGAAAGGAAACAGATGTCTTTTTCACATGCAAACTAATCTGAGGCGATACGCTGAAAAAATAATAATAAAAAAGACGGCGGGCTGTGCAATCATCTAATTTTTTTATTCTATTTTTTTTGCTCTCTGGCAGAACTAGACGGCGCAATATTTTTCAGGTTTCCCACAATGCAAAGTCAATTTGGAAGCAGCGGGACTTCTTCCAGTACAAATTGTAATTACTTCAAAGCTCATGCAGCAAGGATATTGCAAGTCAAATAGGTTTCCCTGTCCATTTTCCCGCCCCCCCCGGCCCCCTTTCATTGACTCATTTTTAAAAATTAAACCACACAATAACATCGCCACGAGGGAAAAGAATTTGCGGGAAGACAGCAGTCATAACAGACTGGGTTCAAAATCACTCCTCATAAAGGATATTGGCTTGATGGCTCGCTGAGTAAGGTGCATTTATAACTCATCCTGAGCCCTAGGTATAGAGTGGGAAATAATATGTGCACACACACACACACACACACACAGTTGCCATAATCCAGGCAGGAAGCATACAGACGCTCACAGCACAATCCTAACCATGCTGAGTTCAATGCCTAAGGCTGCAGTCCTACACACCTAGTTATTTGGGAGTATGCCACATTGAGCTCAATGGGGGGGACTAACTTTGGAATAGACATGGATAGGATGGTACTCTAAATCAAGATTCCACTCACAAACACCTAGCTGGATTAGGAACTGCATGAAAAGCCCACGCCACATAATAGGCAATCATGCTAATCAGCTGTTTCAGAAGGGGAGCAATGGGCTAGATTTAATTCCCTCTTCACTTCTCTCCCACCAAACAGCTGATCAGGATGACTGACAATTCTCTGGCCAGGAGGCATGCAGCCCTGGTGTGCTGTGTATAGGGGTGGGAGAATCAAGGCCACGGTCTCTACTAAGTGACATTGAATATGGATGAAGCCCCACTGTGGTAGTGTTTGCCAATGTGGACTTTTTCTATGGTTTATTTCTGTAGATCACGGCATCAGTAAAGTTGGCCTTACTTGATATGAAGTGTACCCCCACAATTAACTATTTTAACCCCGCCTTGATGTAAAGATGAGCACAATAATACGACGCTTTCAGCAAGCTTAAACTATCACCTCCTGTAGGGGTTCTGCAAAGAAAACCGAATTGTCCTTTGACACTAAACTCAGGATTCAGGAAACAAACAAGATAACTGGTTTAGTTGGTTCTCACAAGTGCCATGTCTTATCAACTGCAAAATGGGCAAGGTAAAGGACTCCCTGTCTGAAACCCAGGAGAGCCATGTGAATCAATGGTCTGGCTCTGTGTAAGATAGCTCCCTAGGTTCCTATGCTCTTTCTGGGGAGAGAGGAGTAGCTCAGTGGTAGAGCATCTGTCTTGTACACAGAAGGCCCTGGGTTCAATCCTCAGCATCTCCAGGTAGGGCTGGGAGAAACTCCTGTCCTCAATCCTTGGATAGCTGCTGTCAGTCAATGCAGACAATACTGAGCTAGGTGGGACCAAGGGTCACAATGATTGTTAAGCCAACTCTTTAACATTTCTTATAAAGTCATGAGGTTCATGGAAGGCCAGAGCCCGTAGAAAAGAGAGAATGCCAAGAAAGTAAAGGTAGGTTTCTGCCTAGAACCAAACAGTAGATAACATGGTTTTGCTTTATATTTTGAAAGGCGAACCTTAAGTGGGCTTGGAAAAGACTTTTATCCATTCTCTTGGTGATTGTTTCTATTGCCTTAGTTTGTGTGCAGGCTCTGAAAGAACATCTTGACTCACCTGAATGAAAATGACAGTGAATACTTTCTGCCGCTTTCAAAGACTGATTCTGTAGCCAGACTCTTGTAGCTTCTTCCAGCTTTGTGTCATTGATCTCACTTATGGCTGTGGAGGACTAAGTGGAGAAAGTCGTTTTCAACAATTAGCTTTCTGTTGTAACTCACAGGAACAAAGGAAACTGCCTTAAAACCAAGTCAGGCCACTGGATCCACCTAGCTCAGAACTGTCAACATTTGGCAGCAGCTCTCCAAGGGTTCAGAGACAGCTCTCCCCAACCCTACTTGGAGTTGTCAGAGATTGAAGCCAGGACATCCTGCATGCAAAGCAGATGTTCTGTCACTGAGCTATGCTCCACTCTATAGAGTGGAACCAAAGGAATAATTAGCTTAATTATCAAGAGGTGTTTCCCAGAAAAGAAAACTGAGTTTTTTCAGCATAGATGCAGTAAATACCCAAGTTTTCTCAACAGTAAAATTTCAGCTCTTTCTAGTTAAATAGATGTGGGCTCAATTTAGCCATTTGGTCACCAAGGGAGGGGACACAGCTCAGTAGAGTAGACCCTGCTTTACACGCAGAAATTCAGTCACCAGCACCTCCGGTTAAAAGGAGAAATTGGCATGTGATGGGGAAGATCTCCATTTCAGATCTTAGAAGGAAGCTGACTGACAGACAGACAAATGGTGTCTGTCCTGGTATAAAGCAGTTTCCTGCGTTCCATTAAACCAGGGTTGGGGAACTTTTTCAGCCCAAGGACTGCATTCCCTTCTGGACAAAATTCCAAGAGTCACATGCCAGTGGTGGGTGTGGCCAGAGGCAAAAGTGGTTGGAGCAACAAATGTAATGTTATTGGATTGATGGGTTGGGCTGGATGTTTGTGGGTCCCCTCCAACTGTGTGGTTTTGTATTTGTAAGATGGGAGTTGGTAGTAGAAGGGATTGTAGAAGTGGCCAAACCTAGAATCTAGAGTTGGAAAGGCCCAAGTCCCTGCAATGCAGGAATTGAAGGGTGGGCCATCCAACCTCTGCTTAAAAACCTAGACGAAAGGAGAGTCCACAACCTCCCAAGGGAGACAGTTCCACTGTAGAACAGATCTTACTGTCAGAACTCAATGGCCGTAGCTGGGCTTGTTAAGCACCCTATTTACATGTCTAAGGAGTTGACCAAGTACAGATGTGTTGGGGTAAGGTAAAGGGACCCCTGACCATTTACGTCCAGTCGTGGCCAACTCTGGGGTTGCGGCGCTCATCTCGTTTTATTGGCTGAGGGAGCCGGCATACAGCTTCCGGGTCATGTGGCCAGCATGACCAAGCCACTTCTGGTGAACCAGAGCAGCCCACGGAAAAGTCGTTTACCTTCCCGCTGGAGCGGTACCTATTTATCTACTTGTACTTTGATGTGCTTTTGAACTGCTAGGTTGGCAGGAGCAGGGACTGAGCAACAGCTCACCCTGTTGCGGGGATTTGAACCGCCAACCTTCTGATCGGCAAGTCCTAGGCTCTATGGTTTAACCCACAGCGCCACCCGTGTCCCATGTGTTGGGGAACCCTCCTCAAAAACCTACAGTAATGGGGAAGCAAACTATGTTGGAATGTAAATGCTGTGAGCCCTTTCATCGTCAGTTACTTATATGTGTAAATACAGTGGTACCTTGGGTTAAGTACTTAATTCGTTCTGGAGGTCCGTTCTTAACCTGAAACTGTTCTTAACCTGAAGCACCACTTTAGCTAATGGGGCCTCCTGCTGCTGCTGCGCCGCCGGAGCACGATTTCTGTTCTCATCCTGAAGCAAAGTTCTTAACCCGAGGTACTATTTCTGGGTTAGCAGAGTCTGTAACCTGAAGTGTATGTAACCTGAAGTGTATGTAACCCGAGGTACCACTGTATAACCAAATATCCTCAAGACACCAGAGATTCAAGGGACTTTCATTCCAAGGAAAACGAACCCTGGGTAGGCTCTGGAACCCTGGAGCCTCTCATTCTGGCTCTTGGTGTGGTGGGGCACAGATGCAGAGTTCACCTGGAGGGGCTGGGTTTGGTAAAGCAGCAGTGAAGTTGTGGCTGGGCAGATGCCCACAGTAGCTTTGCTGGTGTGACTGCACAGTCCTGACCTTGTCGCTGCCTTGCATTGGCCAGCAATTGGTAAGCTGCGGCAACACTGATATCAGGAGGGCAGCTCTGCAGTTCTGCCCCAGCACACTAGCCACGACTAGAATCTATACCAACAAGTCATTGTTTTAATGTGACCTTATTAGCCTTTCGTTTTTATAACACACTTACGAGTGAATCAGGCTGAACAGGGCAGTCACTGAAATATCTTTTGACAAAGCTCTGACCAAGGAGATTGAAAACCAGTTTTCTTTGCTTTGGGTCTCTTATCTTGTCCTTTATTTCATCGGCGAAGGCAGTTTCCAATCTCTCCAAAACCTAGAAGAATCATCAGTTATTTTGCACGTGCACTGACACTACACACACACAATAGTTATTAGGAATTACTTGCAATCCAATTTATTATTTCCATTCCATTGAGCTCCAATGTGGTTTAGTGGTTCAAGTGTCAAACAAGGGCCATCTCTCTCCCTGCTCCCATCCCAACCCTCATTCAGTGGTAAAGCCGATTGAATGACCTTGGGCTAGTCTCCCCCTCCACTAGGGGCTGTTATGAGCATAAATTCCTTGAAAGGAAAGGGAAGAGGAAAAAATGTCACTAATTAACAAACTCTGAAGCTAAGGATAGTCCATGCAGTTGCCACAACAATCCTGCGAGGTTAGTTTGGCTGACAGACGATGATTGGGCCTAGCAAATTAAGTTTGGCTGAGGGGTAAAGACCCAGCGAGCTTCAGTGTGTGATATTGTGGTGAGTGTTGGACTAAGACTTGGGTGACCAGCATTCAAATCCTCACTCACCCATGAAGTTCACTAGGTGACTTTGGGCCAGTTAACTTTCTTACAGCCTAATGAACCTCATAAGGAGGGGGGGGGGAACCATGTTCCTTGAGCTTCTTGGAGGAAAGCTAGAATATAAATGTAACAATAATAATAACAACAATTATAATAATGAGGCCCCTGCAGAAATTTGAAACTGGACCTAAAATAAAGGCTGAGAAACGTATTTTGGAACATCCTAGATGCCATATAAATGGTAAGTGGTATTGCTGTTGTTGGAGGAGGAAAGGAAGAGCAAAGGAAGAAAAATAAGAGGGTGCAAGCTTTACAGCAAAGATTAGTACCTTATGCCATGGCTTTCCAGGCAATAGCGTTTCCTGTAGGCAGGCACTGAACCAAGAGATGCTGCAAATCTGGTTATGGTTGTCTAATTTTGTTCTTGGGTGTCCAGATATTTCTCCAGTTTCTTTCTCCATTTCATGCAGTATTCCCCCCCCCCAAGTGATATGCAATCACTTCTAGTTTTCCAATTATAAGGTCTTCATGACATGACACTGGAGGGGGAAAGCTGCAACACAGACAAAAGAGCTGAGGTCCAAATTATTACAAGCACAATCCCAAGCACTGGATAAAAAGGACTTTGCCAGGTGAAAAAAAAGTTAACACACAGGTGTAAAGATGCATTTGAAGACTTTCAATGTAGCACCTACAGACACCATGGTGCCTCAGACACATTCATAGCACCCGTACCAATTTTTTAAAACTTTAAATTGAGATTTTGGCTATATTGTTTTGTTAGGAGTGTTGCCTGTTTTTTGTGTGTTTTTTTTAGAGATGTCTGCTTACTGGGTCTGGGTTATTTGGGGGAGATACCTGAGATTTGGGGAAGGGGGTTCTGAACACCAGAAGTTCTTTTTCCATTAAATGGGTGTTTGGTGGCACCTAGGCCAGTTTCTTCGTCTTCCAAATGTGCCTTTTGGGTTCCAAAAATGTGGGGGGTGGACCCTTGGTATATGAAGACGGACACCAATGCAACTAAGAGGGTCCATGTGCATACAGCAAATCTAGGAACAATCACCAGAGATTGCTTCGGACAGAATGTGCATTAAACCTGACTTGTTTTCTACAGGATGTTGACTGCAATACCCCAAATACTGTACCGTAACTAATTTGACATCTACTCCATACATGGAAAGCACTCTTATAGCACTTCCAACAGCCATTGATCATCCCACAAAGAATGTTGGGAAGTGTAGTTTGTTCAGGGTGCTGACCTACCAGAGCTACAATTCCCAGCACCCTTAGCAAACTACACTTCCCAGCACTTTCCATGGCTGCTGAATCGGTAAAGAGTACAGTACTTTAAATGTATGCCAGGGATGTAGAATAATCAACAAGGTTTAGTGTCCAACATCGGTCAAGCTCAGAGCAGACCCACTGAAATAAGCGGACATCACAAAGTTGGTCCCATTCATTTAAATGGGTCTGCTCTTGAGTTAAAACTTAGTCGGATGCAACCCTAAATCAATAATGGCAGTAAGAACAATAATTAATACAAACAAAACAATAACAATGTTGACGGTGGTAATACAACAAAAAATACAATGAAGCGGACAATGACAATACAGTGCAGTAATAGATCAGCAGCTACGATAACAGCAACGAAAGGCAACAAGTGATAATAGAAATGTGCAACAGGAATAAAATCAGCAAATTAATGGGCATTATAATAACAATAAAGGGCGAATAATGATGCTAGCCGTACTCAAGACAATGGAACTTAGGTTTACTGATTTCAGTGGGCTTACTCTGAGAGGAACTTAGCTGCGTACAACAAAATAGAATTATTCCTCTTATTGCTATTATTATCCTTATTATTGAATAGCTCCCCTACTCAAGGAAGCCGCGCTCAGCTTCTCCTCCGCCTCGCAGGCCCGGCTCCCCCGTTGCCATGGCGACCGGGCCCTCCGGGCCTAGCTCTCCTCCGCCCTCCTCCTCCTCTGGCCACTCCTCTTCCTCCCCGGGCCGGTAGTTGGAACCTGCCCGGCCGGGCCCCCCCCCGCCCCCTTCGGAGCCTGCCTGTTTACTCGCCGGCGGGGATGGAGGCTGACGGGAGGCCGCGGCCTCAAGAGCGGCGCTCGCCATGAAGCACCGGCCGCCGCGCTATGAGAGGTAGGTGGGTGAGGAGAGAGAGAGAGAGGGAGACTCTGCCGCGGACCCCGAAGAAACCCGAGCAGATCCCTTCCCCTTGACTCGCCTTCCTTCCTTTTACGATATCCCCACGATACATAAACTCTTTCGCCGCCTCCCCCCTCTATATAATATCATTTTATTAGGCCAACCAAAGCAGAGCGAAGGGGGGGGGAGACTTAATGTTGATTTTGAAAGCTGTTTTTCGTGTCGTTTCTGTGTCCCTTGATCCAAGTATTGCCCTAATGTTACGGGTTTGGGGTTTGTTTTTTCCTTACAGGCCGACGAAGCAACCTTTTTTTATTTTCTGGGACACCTTCCCTCCCCCAGCTTTCACTTTCTCAACTTCTTGTAATAAGTTGTGGTGGTTTAAGCTTTCCTGCAAGGCCCCTTCACTCAGGCTGCAGGTGGGGGTTGGAGATAAGAGGTTTGGTTGTAAGCCCCCCCTCCCCAATGCCCTCTGTAGCTGCTCAGAGACCCTGGGGTTATAACAGCTTCACACGGGGGGGGGGGCTGAGCTGGGCTGGGCTCCAGGATCATTTTGTTGCCCTTCTGTTGATGCAGATAACAGCATTTTCCGGGACTGGAAGGAACAGGAGGCTCGGTTTGATTTCCTCCTCTTAACAGGCATGTTTTTTAATTATGATTATTTAATTTTCCAAATTTTGAAATTTACAAATGATCAAAATAAAAAGAGAATTCCATAAATTCCCATGGACTTCCCTCCTCCCCTTTGTGGGTCCTTATGTTAACTTTTTTTCCTCCCACATCTTCTCTATTAATCCAGTTCTATTAAATCTCCATTACAACCATAGTCCAACGTTCAACTACAGTGGTACCTCGGGTTAAGTACTTAATTCGTTCTGGAGGTCTGTTCTTAACCTGAAACTATTCTTAACCTGAAGCACCACTTTAGCTAATGGGGCCTCGCACCGCCGGAGCACGATTTCTGTTCTCATCCTGAAGCAAAGTTCTTAACCCGAGGTACTATTTATGGGTTAGCAGAGTCTGTAACCTGAAGCGTATGTAACCCGAGGTACCACTGTACAAGTATCATTCCAATCCTACGAATAAGTTTAATTGTTTACAATGATTTTTACAATTGTTACAATGATTTTTACAATTGTTTACAATGATAAATTACATATATTTTCCCCATTCTTAATATCTTCCCGATTCTTAATTCTTCCAGTCATTTTTGCCATTTTGGCAAACCCCTGTGCATGTTTGCTTAAGAAGCAAATCCTACCGTACTGAATGGTGCTCGCAAGCGGGACCCAAATGCTCCTCCCTTCAAATATGCCGTGGTTTACAATGGGTTCTGGGACCCATTTGGATGGGCAGTGAACAAGGGCAGAGACCATTAAGACGACTCCCTCCTCTCCACCCGCAGGGGCAGTTCTACCTGGGGCCCACTGCAACTCGTAGAGGGAAAAGGTGGGGAAAACAACTGTAGGTGGTGTCTGGAAGCAATGGCAGCCAGAGTCAGGCTAACAGGTGGTTGAGGGTAGACTGAGGTAGGTGGGGTCGTGCCTTGATCACCGGAGTGAACCAGCTGCCACTGCTTGAGGGCTCTAGATTCAGGGAGGTAGCCGTGTTGGTCTGACAGTCGACCAACTTGAGGGCTTTCTGCTATCCACCAGAAAACAGTCTGGGGTCAAGCAACCCATTCCTTTCCTACTGGCCTCTGTTTTTCATCTGACCCTCTGTTATCCCTCCCTTCCTCCAAGGAGCTTACAATGTCATATACATCAGTGATTCCCAATGGGTGGTCCGTGGACCCCAGGGAGTCAACACTACTCACCCAGCGGGTGTGCAGCACCACTCACACAACAAAAACTACCATAGAAATATCATTATTTTCAAAAAACAGGGGGTCTGCTATACATAGCTAATTGGGAACCACTATTGTACATATCCCCCGCCTTTTTGCACCCCCATTTTATCCTCGCAACAGGGCTAGGCCGACAAGTAGTGACTGGCCCAAGGTTACCCAGGTTGTTATTATTTTTAATTGGATTTCTTAACCAGCCTTCATCATAAGGTCTCAGGGTTGGTTGAAACAATTTTGAAAGACAAGATTAAAATCAGTTGGAACTATTTGCAATCAAGAGAATACGGTGGGTTCTAAAATACATATATTTTGGACATCAAATGCCACGTTAAAGAGGTGCATTTGCCACATTCAATGAAAGCTACAGAGTGAAGGTCAAACCTCCCTGGGGAGGTAATTCTACAGATTTGGGGCTGCCACAGTGAATGCCCTTTCTTGGCCACTGCAACCCCACACCATCAAATGTTTGAAAGTGGCGTAACTTCTAACAGGCCTTATGACTGAGTTGAGATTCGAACCCAGGTCTCCCTCACGCTCCAACCACTACACCACACTAGTTTGCCACCTCTGCTTGTTGATATATGGATTTCTGTCTATGAAACAGGAAGACACTGTTACTTTTGGACAGGTGTGGACAACCTTTGGCCCTCCAGATGATGCTGAAATACAGCTCCCATCATCCCTAGCCATTGGTCATGCTTGCTGGGGCTGGTGGGAGTTGTAGTACAGCAACACCTGGAGGGCCAAAGGTTCCCCACCCTTGCTCTAGGAGCAGAATGATAGGACTTAAGGTTGGGTACATGCCAAACATGATTTCCCCCAAAGCATCATGGGAGCTGTATTTTGGCAAGGATGTTGGGAGTTGCAGCTCTGTGAACTACAGCTCCAGGATTCTTGGAGAAAAGCCATGAGCTTTAAATGTATGGTGTATAAAGGTAAAGGGACCCCTGACCATTAGCTCCAGTCACGAACAACTCTGGGGTTGTGGCGCTCATCTCGCTTTATTGGCCGAGGGAGCCGGCGAACAGCTTCCGGGTCATGTGGCCAGCAGGACTAAGCCACTTCTGGCGAACCAAAGCAGCGCACGGAAACGCCATTTACCTTCCCGCCGGAGCAGTACCTATTTATCTACTTGCACTTTGACGTGCTTTCAAACTGCTAGGTTGGCAGAAGCAGGGACCAAGCAATGGGAGCTCACCCCATCACGGGGATTCAAACCCCCAACCTTCTGATTGGCAAGTCCTAGGCTCTGTGGTTTAACCCACAGTGCCACCTGCAGTTACATAGCCTAAATATTATTTAACTGGAATTTTAAATTTTTTTGAGTTAGTTTCCAGAATTTGATCTCCAAATGAATAGTTATGATTCAAGGGATCTAAGAGGACGATCCCTTGTGACCATTCTAATTGGAGAATTACAAGGATTCTCTTGCTAACAGAGTTGCCATCTGTCATTTCCTGTGTACTTTGTGAGATGACTTTAATAACAGATATTTGCAGCGCTTGGGCTGGCGACTTTTAAGGGCTATTCTGTGCAAATGTTCCTGAATAAGTGTAAAATTTTAACCACCTCCATGCAGTTCCTTCAGCTTTCACAAACCTACACCTGCCTCGTAAATCTTTTGAAGGCTGAACATACCACAGACAGAGTCATTTAATCTGTGTTTGAGAACCACACAGGCCCAGCTTCTGGCTGGCTAAGGTTCTGATGGACCCCTGTATGCCTAGACTCAGCAGACAGCTGAAGATCTATCAGAAGCTGCTGTATACAGACTAGTAGTCCATCTAGGTCTGTATTGTCTATGTCAGGGGTCAGCAAACCTTTTCCGCAGGGGGCCGGTCCACTGTCCCTCAGACCTTGTCCCACGACTCTCCCCTCCCTTCTCCACAGCACCAGATGAGCCCCAGTGGCTGCTTACCTGTGCCTTGCGAGCGGCAGGGGCTGGTGGCGGCAGCGGCAGAGGGACTATGACCCATGGTCTACGTTGACTGGCAGGGGCTTTCCAGGCTTTCAGATAGAGGTCTATCCCAGCCCTACCTGGGGTTAAACCTGGAACCTTCTTCATGCAAAGCACATGCTCTACTGCTAAGCTACAGCACTTCCCCTAAAAACAGATCAAGATTCCGGTCCTCATGGTTCTAAATCAAGGGCTGGTTCAATTAGAAACCATTTTAAAATTGCTTCTTTGTTCCTCCTTAGGAATCATCTCGTCAAAACCGAGCAGTTTGGAGCAGATCACCTCCAACGTGCTGCCATGCAGCCCCACTCAAATAATCGCCACGGCGCGGCAGGAAACAGCAACGGTACCTCAGCCTCTCAGTGCACTCACGGAGCAAGGTCGCCAGGAGAAGGATCTTGCCAGCAAGGAGGGGACATCCACATCCAACTGAGTTCTGCTTTGGGAGAGGCAGGCGAAGACGCTGGCTCCAGGCAGCACCTGCAGTCCGGGACTCAGAGCCACTCTCGCTCCCACTCCCACGGCGAAGCTCGAGGGCCTCAAGATGGCGGCTCGGATTTGGAGGAGCAGAGCGGCAGCTCCCTTTCCGAGCTCAGATATCTCCTCCACTGGCTACAGAAGAGTCTCCCGTACATCTTGATCCTGTCCCTCAAACTCCTCATGCAGCACATAATGGGTAGAGTACAAGACATTGCGCGCTCCGGAGACAACTGCATTTATTTGGGTTTGAGGTTGAAAGAGAAGCAACAGGTTGTGCTTCCAGGCCAGGGGATTGAAACAGTTTTAGCGCCATCTTGAAAACTAGTTTGCCTGTTTCTGGTTTCCCTATTAGCCTTGATCACTGGAAAACTTTCTTGGCCAGTTTCTGGCTTCTGAGATTTCACCAGACACCACCCGTGTGATTCCATGATTTGCAATAATAAGGACTAGAAGGTGGTGGTGGTGTTTTT